ATATTTACATAACTTACATGTTAAAGTGTTGCTATTTTATAATTTCAACATTTGCATTATCAAAATTACAAAAAGGCGAGACATATCTCTGTGATAACAGTTTATTATTTATCTATTTAGTAATATAGTTTTCAAGATAATTGACAAAATCTCAAATAAACTGTTTACACAGAGATACGTCTCGCCTTTTTGTAATTTTGAGAATGCAAATGTTGAAATAAAAATAGCCATACTTTAACATGTAAATTATGCAAATATTCAAAGTCAATGAACCATGACTGAAGGTACATAGCTGAACAATCTCCATGGAAATGAGATGTGCCAATGACAATACAACTGCATACCAAATACTATTGAATTATTATAAGTCGTTCCCTTTAAACAAACCTAAACACAAACATTAACGACATTAACCATGATGAGGGAGTGGGGATATATAATCTCCATGGAACAAGACTTGCAAATGCCAATAAATTTGCAAACCAAATATCATTGACTTAACATTAGCAGTTCATCTTAAACTGACCTAATCACAAACTAATACATGTAAACTAAGCAAAAGTTTCAAAGTCAATAAACCATGACTGAGGGGGCGGGGCCAAATATTCTCCATGGAAATGAGATGTGCCAATGCTTATACAACTGCATACCAATCAACATTGGCCTTCCACTAATGGTTTCCCATAAACTGACCTAATCACAAACTAATACATGTAAACTAAGCAAAAGTTTCAGAGTCAATAGACCATGACTGAGGGGGCAGGGCTAAATAATCTCCATGGAAATGAGATATGCCAATGCTTATACAACTGCACACCAAATATCATTGACCTACAACTAGTGGTTTTCCATAAACTGATCTAATCACAAACTAATACATGTAAACTAAGCAAACGTTTCAAAGTCAATAGATTATGACTGAGGGGGCAGGGTCAAATAATCTCCATGGAAATGAGATGTGCCAATGCTAATACAACTGCATACCAAATATCATTGACCTACCACTAGTGGTTCACCATCAACTAGACCTAATCACAAACTAATACATTGTTGACACTGCCGCCACGGGAAACAGCATACCTATGTCTTGCTTTTTGACTCCGTCAAGGTGAGGCAAAAATTGGTAATAAAATAAAAGAAGAATGCGTCTGAAGACACAAATGCCTCCGCCGCTCTAGCTTTGCAATTTTCCAAGTTAAAAAGGGGCATAACTCTAAAACGGTAAATGACTCACTGCCCTTATTTGAACTCTGTCTGCATGTTGTGGTTCTCAGCATTGTGTATGAGTTTCATAAAATTTGGATGAGACAAACTTAAGTTGAGTGTGGAAACTCAAAAATTTGGAATTTTCCAAGTTAAAAAGGGGCATAACACTAGAATGGTACTGTGGATTCTTTTATTTTCGTGGGTACCAATTTTCGTGGATATAGGAAAACTTGTATGTTCGTGGATATTTAATTTCGTGGTTTTGCCTAGGTCTGCATACAAGCCTAAAGAAAATTTGTCATTCGTTGAACATTTAATTTCGTGGTTTACCTGTACCCATGAAATCCACGAAAATTGGTATTCAACGAATCATAATGAATCCACAGTAAATGACTCACTGCTCAAATTCAAACTTTGTCTGCGTGTTGTGGTTCTTAGAATTGTGTAAGAGTTTCATAAAAATTGCATGAGATGAACAAGTAAGAGTGGAAACAAAAAAAATTGCAATTTTCCAAGTTATAAAGGGGCACAACTCTAGAACAGTAAATGACTCACTGTCAAAATTTTAACTCTGTCTGCGACTTTTGATTCTAAGCATTGCTTATAAGTTTTTATGAAATTTGGATGAGAAAAACTTAATTTGAGTGCGGAAACGAAAAATTTGCAATTTCTTAGTTATAAAGGGGCATAACTATAGAACGGTAAGTGATTTCTGCCAAAATTTGAACTCTGTCTGCGAGTTTTGGTTCTTAGCATTGTGTATGAGTTTCATAAAATTTGGATGAAAAGAACTTGTTAGAAGGCAGAAAAGAAAATTGGACAGATGAAAGAACAGACGGTCAAGGGTAATATTTAATGACCCATTGCCTACGATGAAGGCATAAAAAAATTACAATTTAAGGACAATAATTCCCATAAGGAGTCATCTACAGTTTTGGTTAACAAAGGGCAGAAGGTACATTTTTGTAGATGAACATTCTTAACATTTCTGCCAATGTGTGAGTTTCTCTTTCTACCTATAAAAGTCAACACTAATTATGTTATGTTCTATTTTCAGCCTAGGTGGCCATTTTGGTTCACAAGAGAGATCATCAGATGCATATTTAAACTAAATATGTAAAGAATGATTTAAATAGTAATAGAGATCATCTTGTACTATATTATCCATTTTAACTTTGAAAATAAAGTAAATTTAGAAATTATTGTGAGGTTTTAATTTATGTGAATAATGTGACTGTTTGAGTATCACAATAATAAGAATGCGCAATCTGATATCTGATACATATATATCTGTATGCAGATTTTCCTGAAATCACAATAATAAATATGCAATAATTTCAAAATTTACAGTAATCCAATTCATGTTAATTATTTTGTTGGTGTCTTCTCATATAATAACATAATTGTAAACCCTATATGACAGTGCCTGTAGTGGTATATTTTAGTTTTGTTATTGTGACAAGGGAGATAATTCACTAATGTGTTGTTAGACACAACTAGAGGCTCTAAAGAGCCTGTGTCGCTCACCTTGGTCTATGTGCATATTAAACAAAGGACACAGGTGGATTCATGACAAAATTGTGTTTTGGTGATGGTGATGTGTTTGTAGATCTTACTTTACTGAACATTCTTGATGCTTACAATTATCTCTATCTATAATGAACTTGGCCCTGTAGTTTCAGTGGAAATTATTTTGTAAAAATTTACAAAATTTATGAAAATTGTTAAAAATTTATTATAAAGGGCAATAACTCCTTAAGGGGTCAATTGACCATTTTGGTCATGTGACTTATTTGTAGGTCTTACTTTGCTGTACATTATTGCTCTTTACAGTTTATCTCTATCTATAATAATATTCAAGATAATAACCAAAAGCTGAAAAAATTTCTAAAAATTACCAATTCAGGGGCAGCAACCCAACAATGGGTTGCTTGAATGGTCTGAAAATATAAGGGCAGATAGATCTTGCCCTAATGAACAATTTTGTTTTTGAAAGATTTGCTAGAAATGCTTTGGGTTTAGATATATGAGCCAAAAACTGCATTTTACCCTATGTACTATTATTAGCCATGTCAGCCATCTTGGTTTGAGGGCGGGGTCATCAAACACAATTTTTAAACTACATACCCTAATGATGATTGTTTACAACTTTAGTTAAATTCATCTTAGTAGTTTCAGAGGAGAAGATTGTAAAAGATAACAAAAATTTACGAAAAATTGTTAATAATTGACTATAAAAGAGCAATAACTCCTTAAGGGGTCAACTGACCATTTTGGTCATGTTGACTTATTTGTAGAACTTACTTTGCTGAACATTATTGCTGTTTACAGTTTATCTCTATCTATAATAATATTCAAGATAATAACCAAATAAGGCAAAATTTCCTTAAAATTACTAATTCAGGGGCAGCAACCTAACAACGGGTTGTCTGATTCATCTGAAAATTTCAGGGCAGATAGATCTTGAGCTAATAAACATTTTTATCCTTTGTCAGATTTGCTCTCAATGCTTTGGTTTCAGAGATATAAGCCAAAATCTACATTTTATCCCTATGTTCTATTTTTAGCCATGGCGGCCATCTTGGTTAGTTGGCCGGGTCACCGGACACATTTTTTAAACTAGATACCCTAATGATGATATTGGCCAAGTTTGGTTAAATTTGGCCCAGTAGTTTCAGAGGAGAAGATTTTTGTAAAAGTTTACGGACGACGGACGCAGGACGACACACGACGGACGCCAAGTGATGAGAAAAGCTCACTTGGCCCTTTGGGCCAGGTGAGCTAATAAAAGGGCATTTCCCTACCTTTTTAGGACTTTTAATTTAATTCATTGTTTAATCATATTAATTGGAATATAAAAAGCTGTTAGTTTAATGAAGTGATGTTATCACACAAACAGAAACTGTCTGCAGACTGCAAATAATCATGAAATTGCTATTCTGTAATTTTCATAGTGTTACATATCAATCTATGGTGTTACAATTTTCATTGATTTGCAAACAGAACAAAAATGGAATATATTGCTTTGACATTGAATGTGGTCCTCCTTTTTACAATAGTGTTATGTTAACTTATCAGATTTTCAGGAATGTTCTGTATCAATTATTCACTTACAAACCTGGTAGACACTAAAATTTAAGACTTAAACAGATTAAACTTTTTACAATTGGGTGATACCAGCATATTATTAATTGAGAAATTTCACCAATTATCATAAATAAGTGATCACTTACTACATGTACATGAACTAAGGGTGCAATGTATACATGGTATATGATTGTATGTTATAGAGCAAAGATAAATCTATGACCAACTTTATTTTTTAAATTGATCGGATATAAATTCAATAACAGGAAGGACTATATTAGTGGGGTTCAAAATTTCAATTGATTTGATTTTATGACAAGGTTCTATATATATATATATGTATATTCAGTTGAATTTTTTTCTCTTAGGTGACTCAAGTTCGTTATAGAAATATTTGATTTATAACTCTTTATCATCCAGCTGCAAATATTACAAGCAAATTCAAGATAGCTACATGGTTTTATATGTTCAAGATTGACAGGCAAAGAATATTTTTAATATTTTTTGAACATGTATATATTGACTGGCAATACTATCTCTAGAGTGTTCAAGTAAGAAGTTCAAATCTTTTTCTGAAGTAATTTTAACTGGTAGGTGTTTATTTTGTCATGTTTGTGTAGACACCAAAGTATGTACCATATGTACAGTTATATAGAGAATAAATGCTAGAATTTGGGCCATAGTAAAAAAATCCTAGATACCATCCATCCAATCTTGAATTTTTAATTATATACATAAAATTACATTTACGAAATACTGTTTACTTTCAATCTGGAAACAGGTTACATCAGAAAAAAATACATGTAGTGTCCATTTGGTTGAAAATTTCTATTGGAACCCCCCTTCCCCCTGGAAAAAATGCTTTTGTTGATTTATGAATTAACATTTTACTTCATTCTCCTTTACATGTGCATCAAGTCAATTCTTCTAGAAAGTTCTGATTCTAATCTGGCAAGCTCCTGTTTGAGTTCCTCTATTTTTACTTTAGTTAGAGATATATCTGGTGGTAGACTATGGTATGTTTGCAATTTAGATTTCAGGGGATCTAACTGATTCTTCAATGCCTGGAGTTCCTCTGAAGTTTTTATTAATGATCCATGATATATAGAGGGATCAGCTTTACTTTTCACCAATTCGTTTTGAAACTGAATTATTTTTTCTTTATATTCTTTAGCTTTATTGTAAAGAAAACCTGATTCTTTCGCTCTTTTTTCCATTTCTGGAAGCTGTTTAGATTTTTGTTCCTGCAAGTCTTCTGCAGCTTTTTTCAGAGAGTTATATTTATGAATAGCTGATTTTGTTTTTTCTATAAGGGTCTGTGTGATTCTTTCTTCACGTTTTAATTCCTCTGAAGTTTTATACAATTCATCATGAAGATGTTGAAGTGCCAATAAATAACTGGTTTCAGAAACATCCTTAGTTTGCATCAATAATGCAACATTTGCTAATGTACGTAAACTCATTATACCAGACTGAGACAGATTTGCCACAGGTAGATTAATTTTTTTCAAAAGATTTTCCAGTCTTCTTGCTTCACTGTTGTATTCCTCTGTTTTCTGTCTAAGATCATCAATAACTAATGATGTATCTCTGTCTTTATTTTCATTTAGTTTCATCAATTTATACAATGTGTCTATAGTCCTTTTATTCAGTTCATATGACGGTACAGAATCTCCTCCAAAAACTTTCTCCAACCAGACCTGTATCATCTCTGTCACACCTGGTAATGTCTCCATCTTTCAAATTAAATTTATTCTGCAATTAAAAAAAAAAAAAATTTCATTTATGCCATGAGCTTAAGAAGTAAACTTGTCTATTTTTTCTAATTTTGTTGAGCCTGACATAAATGTTATGTAAGCAATACAAAGCAATCTTACATTCCATCGTCATCAGTTGTGTCAAAACTTAGGTTCAGTCAGTAGTTATATCTTTTTTAGGCATGAATAACTTTAGCAAATCTTCATATAATTTTATGAAATTTGACAGAAGCTTTTTTTATGACTAAAAGACAGTATCCCAAGCATAATAATGATTTTTTTTCTTCATTTTTCAGTATTTACTGATAAAATGACTTAGTTTTTTACAGTAAACAATTAGATACAGTAGAAGGTTAAGGTTTTTTAGTCATCAATAACTGACTTAACAAATTTGTAAACCTTCATGGATGAACCTTTATGAAACTAGGACATGTAATAAGCTAATCTTCAAGATCACTTTTACAGTGAAAGCAGCAATTGCAGATGAGACAAAAGGTTCGAAGGTATTGCAGCAACAACTAGAGGATATCAGCAGCCCTCTCTCTGGCCCGAGAACACAGTTATTTCGTAGTGCATTTCTTTTAGACAATAAAGTCAAATTAAAAAAATCGCAACTGCTCTATTTCAAAAAGATTTTTACAGTGTAGTGTACTTCTATTGGGACAAATAATATCAAAATTATAGAAAAGTCTACCAGCTCTAACTCAAAATATTGACAATTTTATGTTAAGGGGGTCTAAAATTCAGTTTGATAGCTTCAGACATACTAGTTTTTGACCTTTTTTAACTGGACCAAATCACTACTTAACATAAAGATTCAGCAACCAAATTTTTTAAACATGTAATTTCATCCCCTTACTTAATATTTCATGCATAAAATATAAAGAAATAAATTTGGAAAGTGTATGAAAAAAATTTGCAAGTTATACACTGTCCACACTAGGGACAATATTTGTAGACAACGAAAATCTAAGGACGATAACTGTGTCCTTGGACCCTCTCACCTGGTTATAATATGCAATGCTAACTAGAGGCTCTCAAGAGCCTGTGTCGCTCACCTGTATCTACTGTTGTTTTCTAAATCATGTAAAATAAGGTTAAAATCATAATTAATAGTATTAGATACATGTACCCTAATAATGATTGAGGCCAAGTTTGGTTTAATTTGGCCCAGTAGTTAAATTAAAAGCAGGTCATCCCATTGTAGTCTTACAATAGTTACTGAAGACCCCTTATCATTATTTAAAGTAGTTTTCAAGTTGTGACCATTTGAAATTGGTTTTTTTTACAATTTTCCCTTAGACTTCTATAGTAAACCACTATGTTCTATTTTTAGCCATAGCGGCCATGTTGGTTGGATGACAGGGTCATCGGATACATTTTTCAAACAAGATACCCTATTGAAAATAGTGGCTAAGTTTAATTTTATTTGGCCCAGTAGATTAAGTGGAGAAGATTTTTGTAAAAGATTACAAAAATTTACGAAAAATTGACTATAAAGGGCAATAACACCTTAAGGGGTCAATTGACAATTTTGGTCATGTTGACTTATTTGTAGATCTTACTTTGCTGAACATTATTGCTGATTACAGTTTATCTTTATCTATAATAATATTTAAGATAAAAACCAAAAACTGCAAAATTCCCTTAAAATTACCAATTCAGGGGCAGCAACCCAACAATGGTTTTGTCTGATGCGTCTGAAAATTTCAGGGCAGATAGATCTTGACCTGATGAACATTTTTATCCATTTTCGATTTGCTCTAAATGCTTTAGTTTCAGAGATATAAGCCAAAATTTGCATTCTACCCCCATGTTCTATTTTTAGCCATGGTGGCCATCTTGGTTGATGGGCGGGGTCATCGGATACACTATTAAACTAGATACCCTAAGGATGATTTAGGCCAAGTTTGGTTTAATTTCGCCCCGTAGTTTCAGAGGATAAGATTTTGTAAAAGATTACAAAAATTTACGAAAAAATGTGAAAAATTGACTTTGAAGGGCAATAACTCTTTAAGGGGTCAATTGACAATTTTGGTCATGTTGACTTATTTGTAGATCTTACTTTGCTGAACAATTTTGCTGTTTAAAATTTATCTCTATCTATTATAATATTCAAGATAACAAAAAACTGCAAAATTTCCTTAAAATTACCAATTCAGGGGCAGCAACCCAACAGATAGATCTTGACCTGATGAACATTTTTACCTAATTTCAGGTTTGCTCTAAATGCTTTCGTTTCAGAGATATAAGCCAAAAACTGCATTTTACCCCCATGTTCTATTTTTAGCCATGCGGCCATCTTGGTTGATGACCGGGGTCATCAGATACACTTTTTAAACTAGATATCCTAAGGATGATTTAGGCCAAATTTGGTTGTATTTGGCCCAGTAGTTTCAGAGGAGAAAATTTTTGTAAAAGTTAACGGACGATGAGGGGCGCCAGGTGATGAGAAAAGCTGACTTGGCCCTTTAGGGCCATGTGAGCTAATAAAAAGGAATAAGAGGAATCACCAAAAATGTTGCAAAACAACAGACAATATCAATCTCCAACAGAACTCATTAATTCTCTGAAAAAAAGTTCTACATAGTACAACCAGCGACAAACAACACATGGTCCAGAAAGTCTGACTATATCGAGACACAAAATGTGGTGGAGTTAAACCAGTTTTACATGCCCACAACCCCCATCAGACTATCGGAAGAAAGAACCATTTTAATGAATAGTTATTCTTATCACATTTATATAACCCTTAATGTTGATTTCATAAAGATTTAAGAGATTTTCTGAGCTAAATTTATCTTTTTCCAGTGCTTTAGCTGTATAAATTACATTACGTAACAATAAAAGAACAGAGTTCCAATGTCCCCCGCGTTGCACATATTTTATCTGTTCTGTCCAAGGACAATAACTAAAAAAAAACTTTTTTGTTCTTTAAAACTTTTTAAGATTATCTTACTAGAGAGTTGAAGATTTATGAACAATTTCCGATATATTTAATATTTCAAAGGGAAACTCATTAAAATATTTGATCAGCTCAAAGACATTTCTCATATAAACCTATGATATAAGTTTCATAAAAATCTGGCAAGAATTGTACAAATCAGAGCACTAACAGTGCAATTTTCCATATAACTAATGTTTCCAAGGGGCATAACTCTTTTAAAAATAATTGATCAGCACTGATTTTTGAACTCATCCAAGACATTGCTAATATAAACTTATGATATAAGTTTCATAAAAATCTAACAAGAACTGTACAAATGAGAGCGTTAACGATGCAATTTTCCGTATCATTGAAGTTTCCAAGGGGCGTTACTCTTTTAACAATAATTCGTCTGCACTGATTTTCAAACTTGTCCAACACATTGCTGATATGAACCTATGATATAAGTTTTCATAAAAATCTGACAAGAATAAATAAGAAACAAATAAGAGGGCTAATGCTGCAATTTTCCATATGATTAATGTTTCCAAGGGGCATAACTCTTTTAAAAATAATTGATCGGCACTGATTTTTGAACTCGTCCAAGACATTGCTAATATAAACCTATCAAGTTTCATAAAAATCAAACAAGAACTGTACACCTGAGAGTGCTAACAAAACCAGAAGGAAGGAGTTTCTATGTCCCTGTAGTAACAGTGTTTTCTACCGTTACTTAGGAGCGGGGTGTTGCTCCTTTAAGAATACTTTAGATACGGGGGAAAGTCTTTAAGTTCACTAGCTCAAAAGAATAAAATAGGTATTTCATTATATAACTATAATTGTTTAATAGACATAAATGAGACATCCATTAATACAAGATATAGTTAGTTCATATAATACAGATTCGCAATAATATATAATTCCAGAAAAAGGTGTTTATATCATAAATGCCATATTTTCTAAAAGTGACTTAAAACTCTAAGACCTAAATCTATAATTAAATTAACTGACTTTCTAGCCTATTACTTAATATTCTAAATTTATCTTAAGTATCAAACCTTTGACCTTTTAATTACCAAATGGAAATGCTGAATTTGACAGAACGTATTTATATAAGAATCCTTAATGTCTCAAGTGGTGGTCAGTAACATGTGAAATAAACAATTAATTATAATTAATTACTTTTTTGAACTACTACTACTAAAGACACTAAAATCAACATCTGTTGTTTAGGTGTCTTCCCATTTATCCAACTTTTTAAAATAAGGTATTCTCATTTAGCCAACTTTTTATTTTTGTTAATTATTGGGTTGTTTGTTTAGTAATAATAAGGTGTCTTTCTAAAATTTGACAGTAAATTTGTTCCTGTATGTTTTTATATTATTTAAAAAATATATATAAAATAGGCGATAGTAAACTTGTTACATTTTATTTTTAAATAAAATTTAGTATATTTTAAATAATAAACATTTCATCATTTATACAGAAGAAACCCAAAAATCAGTAATATTTTTATATTAACATTTTATGAAAGTAAAAACATGTGAAAGTTCATATTGAATAAAATAGAATTTAATTTTTTACGATAAAATGCAACAAAAGTACAAAATAAAATATCAAAGGCTGTTTATTCCACTTCTGCCAGCGCATCTGGAAAAAGGTACAGACTCTTGGTTTGACCGAAGAATATTAGAACGATCCATTACTTCATCAACACGTACGACGAGCATCAGCACTTCCTTTAGTACCTCCTTACCAAATTGAAGAAGTATGGTTCTACGCACTGAATAACTACCAGACCGAAGATGCACAAGTCACCAGCTTTAATGACTACGTCACAGAACAGTGGGTTGACAGAGAACCAGAACGATGGAACCACTTCACTACCGTAGGACCAAGGACAACAAACCATTTGGAAAAAATGAACGAAGAGGATCTATTACACTAAAAAAAGCTCCATCTCATTGACAAATCTCTTCATGAATAAAAGTGCAACTGATATTTTTCTATCCAATTCACATTTAAATTAACAGTTAAAAAACTTAAAAATACTTTCAAATGATTTACATTACATTAACTAAATGTCAGTTGCACATTTTAACATGCTATGCTAAATAATACTACAGAAAATTTAATCCGGGTATAATTTTCAGTCTTATTTTTCACCTGTCATTCAACCCAAACTCTAATTGAAAAACCCTTTGTTCTTGATTACCTTTGATCTCATCTATCCAACTTTTTTTTTTACCTGTACTACCCATAATTTTAAAAAGTTGGATAAATGAGAATGAACTGTTGTTTACTACTAAAATCTACACATGCAAATTCTTTTAAAAATTCTCTTCAACATGAAATAATGGAAATACTGAAAATTGTATAAAATGTTACTTTTCAAATTGTAATGTAAATTTACTCTACTATATTCCCCGCAACGCGTTGCGCTGGGGACAATAAAAAATCGGGGCAGAAATACTGTCAATTTCTTTTTTTTAACAAAAACATTATACTTACAAATAACATGTTGAATTGACTTAAAAATGTTTTGAAAACATTTAAATTCTGGTATCTACCTTTAATATAAAAGTAACCTTTGAGCTAATGCAAGGTTACGAAAAAGGAAATTTTGGGATGGCAGAGTTGAAAGTCATCTCTTCTGTTGAAAATTTTTAGTACGCTTTTTCCATTTAGTACAGATACTATTATGTCTAAAAAATACTAATTAATCCTTTGAATAAACTTACAGTAGTAAAATCTTTAAACATTGTTTTTCATTTTTTTATTTAGAAAAAAATAAAACATAACTAAGTATATATTGCTATATACACTATATGTACAGTTATGAGAATTCATGATCCTACATCCTGTCAATATTGTTAACTTATACTTTGGCATTACACAAGTTCATGGGTTTCTCAGGCTGTTAATGATATCTTTACACGAAATATAAATCCATTGGATGTGTACTGATTTAAACTTTAGTCTGGGAGAACATGATTTATTTATTAGTTGTGATTGGCTTTGAACTAGCTTTCAGTAACGTGCTTTGTGTCTAATGTTTTTTTCTCTCACACCAATGGTTTTGAGATTAGCTTATACATGTAGTAACTGATTTTGACAGTTTGTTCTTATGTTGTGCTGTTACGCCCTATCCTAGGTTAGGGGAAGGTTGATCACTCACAAACATTTTAACCCTGTCACATTCTTTATGTGCCTTTCCCAAGTCATAAGCCGGTAGTTCAGTGTTTTTTTTTAGTTCATTTCTGTCGTATTTGTTTATCATAAATTTTTGTTATACACATTGCTGTTAGTTTTTAATGTTTGAATTTTTTCACATTTTTCATGTTGGGGCCTTATAGCTGACTATATGGTATGGGTTTTTCTCATTGTTGAAGGCTGTACAGTGGCCTATAATTGCTTATATCCACTTCATTAGAAGTTGTCTCTTTGGCAATCATATCACATCTTCTTATTTTTATGTAAAGGCATATATACTTAGACAAAAATAACCATACAAGTTACTTTCAAGTCACCTACATATGTATATTGTATATATATAATCATCTGATTGCTTCAATGGCATTTTAGATTTTGTCTGTCTTATTTTAATTGAGTCTTTGTTAAAACAGTCTTTTCTTCTTCTTCAGTTTCAGAAAACCATCAACATACTGATGTTTACTTTCCGGCGCATACCTGGTAAATTTTTTTCAAATTTATGTATTTATAAATGCAGTTAAACATAGATTGTCAAATTTTTTGTATTCCATATTTTTGTATATTTGTTATATTATTATTATTCATTTTTACAATTTTACTTTGTTTTTAGATTTTTCGTTTTTATGTAGTTTTTCTAATATTTCATTTTTTATTTTTATTTTTAATTTAAGATAAAAACATGATTGCCTGATTACTTCAGGTGTGGATAGGTATCAAGGAGCACATCGTGAGTGAGTGCATCCTTGAAAGTTTCTGTGGTGGTGTTTTTTGTTATGACTGAGGATAATTTGTTCCAGTCTTTAATTGTTTGACAAAAGAAAGAAAATTTGTAGCTGTCTTTTTTACATTGGATTTGTCGGTAAGCATCTTTATTGGTGGATCTTGTGGTGGACTGACTCTTTTGTAATAGATTTTGCGATGGAATGGCAATGTTTTTGTTTATAATTTTGTGGAACATTATTAGCCTTGTTCTTAGTCGGCGTTCTTGTAATGTTTGCCAATTCATGGTGTCTAGCATCTCAGACACACTGCTGGTATTGTGATGTCTGTTACATTCATATGATCTACGTAGGAATTTGTTTGTAACAACTTTCATAAATTTTATTAGTCCAAATAATTATGATGTCTTCAAAGGCTATTTTACTTTTTTGCTGTGACACCTTCCTACAGGCTACAGCAAAAAATTATAAAAGCCTTTTAAGGCATACGTTGGAAGACGTTACAGCAAAAAATTATTTGGACTAAATTTTTATATACATTTGTACAAGGATTTGTAATTGTATATATAGTGATCCTAGGTTTGTAGAATAATGTGCATGATGTGTGTTGAGGAGTGGGTTTCAAGTCAGAACTTGATGCTGAAGAAACAATCAATTTGTTACATGAAAATATGATGCTACGTATTACCTACAAAGTCAATGTATGACTATCACTTTCTTGTGTATTAGCCTGAAACTCAATAATTGATAGTGCACTCAACCTGTCAACAAATTAACCTGTTTGATTTTCCCTCTGCAAAAATATATCTGACTACCAAAATCTATGTGGATTTAAATTTACATAATTTTGAAGACTTTGATTTACAATCATCTTACAATTAATAGTTATAATACTCACCTTTTATAACATAATCTTGTAATTCTTGTCAATAATAGTTCTGAACAAATGGATTGTTGGTTACTTCAAAAGGTATATATTTTGGAATTCAGAGAAACCTACATAAAAATTAAGCGCGAGACTTCATTTCGATGAATTGAAACCTCATATTTACATATTGAAATGACACTAGTGTGCAAGTTTACTGGATTTGACTACATAAATTTCAATCTTTTCAAAATAATTAGTCAAAGACTATGAGAAAAAAGAGGCAGTAGTTCATTTTCAAAAGAAAATATTGAACATTTTCAATCACGTGATTAGACTATCGTACGAGATTTGAAGGAATTTGGCAGCAGGTGCTTTGGATGAATCACAATAACACTTATGAAGAAATACCAACTTAGATGGAATCGAATTTAGAATGACATAAAAATATTCATATTGATTGACAGCCCTGTAACGAAATAATAGATCCACATTACCTTCAAATCTTATTTAAATGAAGGTTATATGACCGACATTATTTGTGCTTCAGCCTGCAACTCTGAGAACCGCCTACTGTTGATACTTAATCTGTCAAACCATCATTTATTCTAGACATTATGCCCTTAGATTGTTGTTCTGATACAAGGTTAAGTTAAAGATGAAAAAACTTTTTACAAAGAACGACTCTTCAGCACAGCAATATGTAGGAAAAGTTTTCACTGTAGGCAGATTCAGTGTAACAGTGGAAGATGTGATAGCAGAGGGTAAGATCATTAGAAAAGATGTAATTCATATGAAATTTTTGGCTGGTGGTGTATCTTTAATTTTTTGGAAATTTAATCGCAAGCTCCCTATATATAGGAATTTGCTGAGAAAACTCCCCCATATCCATCCCATCAAAAAATGAAATAGGTCACAATTTCATTTGGTCTGGTAGCAGATTGTTTTGTCCCATTCCTATTTGTACTGCATCATTTCGCTCCTTGTCAGTTCTCTTCAGTAGTTTCATTAAATTACTATCTTATACATTTTTTGCCTCGTTTGACCAATGAAACATTCTGTATGTATACGATATGTGTAATTGTCAGAAAGTCTGATTGTCTCATTGCAATGCAGCAACAGCAAATAACTTTTGTGTGAGAATGGGAATCTTGGCGAAACAACCAAGATTCATTTGGCCATATCAAATTAATTTTTAGATTCTCATCTACCTGTCACAAAATGTATGGAATGTGTGGAAGGATCCTATTTGTTTGTTTTGGCATGGTCTGTCGCAAACCAAATGATCTGATAGGATTAACAGCTTTCCCTTTCGAAAGCACATTTGGGGGCGTTTATGTACAATGTATATGCTGTACGATATAATTCATTTAGAAATTTTCTGTAATGTGTCATTTGGTCTCTTGTGGAGAGTTGTAAATCCAGAAAAGCGCTTCAGACGCATAAATTATTAAACGTGTTGTTTTCAATTATTTGTCTCATTGGCAATCATACCACATCTTCTTATTTTTATATCTATTGGATAAAGCATTTCAATGTTGCTATCACAGTTTGCAACCCTGTTATAAGACTATGTAAGAGGAGTTGGTGTTATTAATTTGTTTTCCAAACTTTGCCATGTTATTGGATTAGACATGCTAGCATTAATATGGCTATGTCATTTGTCCCCTTTTTTTATATGCCCGTTTACGGGACGTATTATTATAATTTATTTTAAGACTTTGCTAGTGATACAAATGTTAGACCAAAAATGAAATTAGATTTTTCAATGTTGTCTACCTTAAGCTTCCCACCTACATACATTTGTAATAAGAAGCCTACATGTACCTGAAAAATATTATGATACAAATCGGTTCAAAGTTTTTCTTATTGATTTTTTCCTGCTCTCCCATCATTTTCTTGTCTTTTGATAAAGGAAATTAAGTCTAATTAGGTTGAAATACATGGTGAATTTATACTAATTATACAAATATATATGCTACATGTATTTGGCTGCTACATTTTTGTAGTTCAAGGTTGTTAATCATAATGCTGTTGATGCCATATTTTATACATGTTAAAAGAAATGAAATATAAAAATTCCGTTGGGCAGGGTTCTCCTTAATCCTGTTAATGAAAATATAAACTTTGGAATTTGAGAGAATTCAGTATAATTTTTCAGAAGTTGCACTTACAAAATGACTTACATAAGTCAAAAATGCATGTATATGTGATATGATTGCCATCAAGACAACTATCAACAAGAGAGACCTAATAAGACAGAGTTCTTAAAATCTTGTTTCCCTTAATTTTTCCTATAATGGATCTTGAAGAAAAATCTGCTGGTCCTGACTATTATTTCTATTGCAAAATACCAAAATTGTGTTTGTCCTTTGCAAATTTTTATGGTCAAAACCTTTGGACCACCACTTTTCGAGAACTCTGATAAGCATGATAAGGATGAGGATGTAAACCACTACAGGTCGTCATATTGCCTTCAACAATGAGAAATTCCATACCTTAAATTTTTGAATTGGAAGAGTTCAAAGATTTGTGTCATGTTTGTTAGTTTATAATTATGTACTATATATTAACTTGACTAATCCAGTTTTTATACGCCCGTTTACGGGACGTATTATGGTATACCGTTGACCGTCTGTCCGTCCGTCCGTCGTCAACATGTTGGACATTAATTCAAAAACGCTTAAACCAATGCATAAAACTTTGGTGAATTGTTTATATCTATTGACGTGAGCTCCCTTTCGTTTTTTATAAATTTCAGATTTACCATTTCCAAGTTTTGGGGTTTTATTCATTAAAAAAGGGGGGATTTTCCAGTTTTCGGACAATCACTCAAAAATAATTTCACCAATTTGCATGAAACTTTTGTGAATTTTTCATATCTATTTTCGTTTTTTATTAATTTCGGATTTACCGTTTTTGAGTTTTGGGTTTTTATTCATTAAAAAAAGGGTGATTTTCCAGTTTTCAGACAATAACTGAAAAACAATTTCACCAATTTGCAAGAAACTTTGGTGAATTGTTTATTTCTATCGACATGAGCTCCCTTTTTATTTTTATAAATTTCAGACTATACGTTTCCGATTTATGGGGTTTTATTCATTACAAAAAGGGGGATTTTCCAGTTTTCGGACAATAACTCAAAAATGCTTTCAGCATTTTTTATGAAACTTTGGTAAATTGTTTATATCTATTTTTGTAAGCTCCCTTTTGATTTTTATAAATTTTTGATTTTACGTTTCCGAGTTGTAAGATTTTATTTATTTATAGTCTGACAACAGATTTACTAAGTATTGCGCAACAGCACAGTATTGCACCAGCAAGAAATCTTTCATATAACCAATTTCAAGTTCTTTGACTACATTTATTCAGAAACCTATAATATATCAAATATTTAATTACAATCCAAATTCAGACCTGTATCAAGCTTGAATATTGTGTCCATTTTTGCCCCAACTGTTCAGGGTCGGACCTCTGAGGGCGTATCCAGCTGCGCTCAGCGAAGTATTTTATTATTAGTCCATTCCATTTTAACCGAATAAGATGGTTTAGATGAGATCTATTTGAGTTACCGAACAGTCAGAACTGTCTGTATTCTGTACTATGGACTCATTAGAATCAGTTGGGACTTACAATGTACCACTTAAAAAAATGCAAGTCCCAGGACTCTTGAATATCTTAGAGAGAACCCTGCCATAAGCCCATGGCCATCAACTTACCTTTTTAATGATCCTGTGGATATCAGGCTACCATAATGATTGATGATCACTTTTACCTGTGTTACATATTACCTTAATCAATGGCATGCAGAGACGCAGGTCCAGACCTGGTATTGTTCTTGTTTATCTTGCCATGCAATTCTTATCAGTAAATATGTGTTAACTCGTTAGATTTGTATTATATTTCTCTTTAAAATCTCACAGATTCACCCTGTCATGTTAAAAAAGAGAAGTCACTTGCTAGTGCTAGAACTGTATGTACACTCTGTAAATAACAGACTAGTTATTGAATCAAAATCTACATGTACAGTAATGGTCAAATAGGTCAGATGCAAAGTATATAAAAGATCTAGTGAAAAGCAGACGATAATAAATATTTAGAAAAACCTATAATAATAGAACCAAGTTTTAAAGAAGCAAATTTGTAAGTTCTATTTAAGAAGAAATCTGTTATAGAAATCAAGTGATAAGTGTTTATTAAAAGCAGTGTTGACTGTTTTTTTTACCTGTTTCCCCAAATGCGAAAGCAGATCTAGTAACCCCTTAAGCTTGTCTTTGTCTTTCATTTTGTTCATACGAAGGCCTTTCAGTAGAAAACATTTGTCAAAGTGTTTTGCTACTATGAAGGGAATTATTTTATATTTGGTCTGCAGCTTGATAATGTTTAGTTTTATTATGTAGGAAATGTTTTAGATCTGTTAAGCAGCTACTCTCTGTTTGTTGATATAGTGTAGTATGTAGTTTCAATGAATTATACACAGTGACACAATTCGACACGGTATTGGTCTTAAAAAGTAGTCACATATATGTGTTCAGCAGTTTATTGTTAAAATTAAGGGAATGTTTGGTAGGTTTAACAATATTTCACAGTTGGTCATGTTTAGGGTTAGAAAATATACTTGAAGACTCTTTATGAATTTGGTGTTGTCAAAGGGTTGTTTAAGAGTCAATTACCAATTACCATTATTATGTGATGCCTAATCTTTAGTTTTCTATGTAATATTTCATGAACTTGTATACATGTCTTCTCCTTGTCTTTTGCTTTTTGCCATGACTTGGTCAGTTTCTCTTGAATTATGAGTTTGAAATGCCCCCTTGGTATTTGCCACCTCTTTTTTATTGGATATATATACAGTGTTCTCCACAGAAATTTCTTATATCATCCCAGTAAAGAGGAAATTATGAAATACCATCTTGTTTCTGGAAATTATAGTATCACATCCATAACACTATCTATAAGAAAATCACTTCAGATAGCATCATATTCTAGCAATATAGCATCACATTAGCATGATGCTTAAAGGCCCTGGGGAGAACACTGTATATATATATAGCAAAAAGATTTTTTCAAATTGAGATTGTTTTTATAAAAGGCAGTTTCTACCCTTATGTTCATTTTATTTACTGACCACTTGATTATCTGGTATCAGAGTGAACAAGTTTCATGTTCTTCATTACTATTACATGCCTTAGTTGTTTCAAGATAAAATTTCAAATATATTTTGTTTGAATTTGAAAATAACTTTATATTGTTTGAAGTATCGATATCCATATAATCACAGTGTTTAAATTGAATTGAAATGATAGTCCATGTCCACCAGATAGACAGAGTGACAGTTATGTTACAAAGTTTGTTTGGGGAACAGTAATAATAATTGTTTGTTGAGGTTTCTCCTGTATAATTTTTCACTTTTTGCAAAAAAAAATTATTAAAAACATTTTTTAATTGCATTGAATTTTTAAGAAATTTTTAAATTTCACCAAATTCCATTGGAGAAAAAAACATTTTGAAATGTCATGTATGCACGTGAACGTGTTTATTTAACTGACTGAAGATTTAATTTGTATTACATCTACAAATTTGATATTGTACAGTGAAACTTGTTTTGTATTTAAATTTCAGGAGGGTTTGCTATAGTCTTCTTGGTCAAAGCTCAGAATGGGAACCAGTATGCACTAAAACGATTGTTTGTCAACAATGAGCATGACTTGTCAGTTTGTAAGAGGGAAATACATATAACGGTATGTTGTTTCTCAAATTTAAAACAACTAATATATTGTATTCAGTTACCAATATCCTGGGTCATCTGATACATAAGTATGAATCATTATTTTGTGAATATTATGTATAATTTACCTGTAATGTCGTTATGTCTTTTTATGGGTTTTTTCTGGTTAATATCTGTACATGACATGTTCATAAACATTAATTGACTTTTTTTGTAAGTTAATGCTTTAAATAATTAAAATTTGAGACAATACAAGAGTGAACAATCTCAAGTAGAGATACATTGTATGTAACTTCTATGTCATTTGTCTGTTGGAAAAACAATTTTCAGATAATATTAATTTGTTTTCACAAAAATCCTTGGATTATTTAAACTAATCACTTGAGTATCAATCAACTATTAATCAAAGAGTTAAACACAAGCTATATATGTCACGTATGTAGCAGATCATGGGTAAATAAAAAATAGTAAAATCCAAAAGAGACCACCATTTGCCTTTTTTTACGTCCGTTTACGGGATGTATTATGGTATACCGTTGTCCGTCCGTCTGTCTGTCCGTCGTCAACATGTCGGACATTAACTCAAAATTGCTTTCACCAATTTGCATAAAACTTTGGTGAATTGTTTATATCTATTGACGTGAGCTCCCTTTCGTTTTTTATAAAATTTAGATTTTGCGTTTCCGAGTTGTGGGGTTTTATTCATTAAAAAAAGGGGGATTTTCCAGTTTTCGGACAATAAGTCAAGAATGCTTTCACCAACTTGCAAGAAATTGTGGTGAATTGTTTATATCTATTGACATGAGCTCCCTTTCAATTTTTATAAATTTTAGATTTTACGTTTCCGAGTTACAGGGTTTTATTCATAAAAAAAGTGGGGATTTTCCAGTTATCGGACAAAAACTCAAAAATGCTTTCAGCAATTCTTATGAAACTTTGGTGAATTGTTTGTATGTATTGATGTAAGCTCCCTTTAGAATTTTATAAATTTTACATTTTACATTTCTTAGTTATGGGGTTTTATTCATTAAAAAAAGGGGTGATTTTCCAGTTTTCGGATAATAACTCAAAAATGCTGTCACCAATTCTCATGAAACTTTGGTGAATTGTTTATATCTATTGATGTAAGCTCCCTTTTTATTTTCATAAATTTCTAATATGACATTGAGAATTAATTGAACTTTATTTGTTTATCATGTTTATAGTCTGACAACAGATTTACTAAGTATTGCACAACAGCAAGAAATCTTTAATTGAACATAAATTCAATTCATATGTTTAATAATAATATTGAATGCTGGTATTCATCCATACATTACATTTTTAAAAAGCTGAATATTCATAATTTGGAGGTAAAGCTCAACTTTTTTATCAAGTCAGTTAAGCAAAAACTTTGTAACAGTTTTGTAAAATTTTGGAACACAAAAAGAAGAGATACAAAGAGTAGTAAATTAGATACTTATTTCAAACTTAAAACTTGTTTTTCGAAAGAAATGTATCTATCTTTAAACAATTTTCAATTGAGAAGTGCCATATGTAAAATCAGAATCAGTGCACATGATCTCAAAATAGAAAGAGACAGGTATAAAACTTTATATATAGAAAGAGACCAAAGGCTTTGTAAGAAATGTACTCTAAATCTGGTTGAAGATGAACAACATTTTATTACTAGTTGTCCAGCATACAATAATGATAGGGAGATATTTTTCAATGAGATAAACTGTATCTGTCCCAATTTTATATATCTTTCAAATGAGGCAAAATTTGTTTGGTTATTTACTAATGAAAATTTGTCTATACTTAAATATTTAGGGAGCTATATTATTACATGTCTAGATGTTAGACGAAATGTTGATTAATGTATGTAATAACAATGATAATTGTAATGATTTTATAGTTCTGATCCTGCCTGGAATTAAATGTATGTTATTATACGACCGCAAAAATTGAAAATTTTTTGGTCGTATATTGGTATGACGTTGGCGGCGTCGTCGTCGTCGTCGTCGTCCGGCGTCGTCCGAAGACACATTGGTTTTCGCACTCTAACTTTAGTTTAAGTGAATGGATCTCCATGAAATTTTACCATAAGGTTCAATACCACGAAAGGAAGGTGGGGATTGATTTTGGGGGTTATGGTACCAACAGTTAAGGAATTAGGGGCCAAAAGGGGCCAAAAATAAGCATTTTTGTAACTTCCAGACAATAACTTGTGTGTAAGTGTATGGATCTCTCTGACATTGTACCACAAGGTTCCATATCACAAAGGGAAGGCTGTAATTGATTTTGGGGGTAATTGCCTCAAAATTTTAGGAATTAGGGGCCAAAAAAAGGGGCAAAAAACAAGCATTTTTCTAGTTTCATGACAATAACTTGTGTGTAAGTGTTTGGATATTTCTGAAATTGTACTACAAGGTTCCATATCACAAAGGGAAAGCTGGAATTGAGTTTGGGGGTAATTGCCCGAAACGTTTAGGAATTTGGGGCCAAAAAGGGGCCAAAAATAAGCATTTTTCTAGTTTCCAGACAATAACTTGTGTTCAAGTGTATGGATCTCTCTGAAATTGTACTGCAAGGTACCATACCACAAAGGGAAGGCTGGGATTGAGTTTGGGGGTGATGAATCATAAGGGGGTTCAAAAAATTTGGGGGGGGGGATTTTTTTTTTTTCTTTTTTTTTCTTTTTTTCCTTTTTTTTTTCTTTTAAAATTTCCCATTTTAAGTTGGTTATTTCTGATTAATATTTAAAAGCAAATAATAATGATATGGTAGGAGATACACACCAAACAGGATGTGTAAATTATTATATAATAAGTATTGTGCAATAGCAAGAAATCTTCAATTGCACAGTATTGCGCAATAGCAAGAAATCTTCAATTGCACAGTATTGCGCAATAGCAAGAAATCTTCAATTACACAGTATTGCGCAATAGCAAGAAATATCCAATAGCACAATATTGCGCAATAGCAAGAAATTGTCAATTGTACAGTATTGCACAATAGCAAGAAATATTCAATTGCACAGTATTGTGCAAAAGAAGATACTTCGTATAAATTGCTTATTTCTTGATCAATTTCAATGGGGTTTTATTCTTGAATTCTTGGGGTTCTTTAATATGCTGAATCTAACCGTGTATTAAGTTTTTGGATTTTGGGCCCCGTTTTTAAATTGGTCCACATTGAGGTCCAAAGGGTCCAAAATTTAACTTTGTTTGATTTCATCAAAAATTGAATTATTGGGGTTCTTTGATATGCCGAATCTAACCGTGTATTTAGATTCTTAATTTTTGGTTCCTTTTTCAAATTGGTCTACATTAAGGTCAAAAGGGTCCAAAATTAAACTTAGTTTGATTTTAACAAAAATTGAATTTTTAGGGTACTTTGATATGCTGAATCTAAACATGTATTTAGATTTTTGATTATGGGCCCAGTTTTCAAGTTGGTCCAAATTGGGGTCCAAAATTAAACTTTGTTTGATTTCAACAAAAATTGAATATATGGGGTTCTTTGATATGCTGAATCTAACCATGTATTTAGATTTTTGATTTTTGGGCCCCGTTATCAACTTTGTCCACATTGAGGTCAAAAGGGTCCAAAATTAAACTTTGTTTGATTTCATCAAAAATTGAATTGTTGGGGTTCTTTGATATGCCAAATCTAACCGTGTATTTAGATTTTTAATTTTGGGTCCTGTTTTTAAATTGGTCTACATTAAGGTCCAAAGGGTCCAAAATTAAACTTAGTTTGATTTTAACAAAAATTGAATTTTTAGGGTACTTTGATATGCTGAATCTAAACATGTGTTTAGATTTTTGATTATGGGCCCAGATTTCAAGTTGGTCCAAGTTGGGGTCCAAAATTAAACTTTGTTTGATTTCAACAAAAATTGAATATATGGGGTTCTTTGATATGCTGAATCTAAACATGTATTTAGATTTTAGATTTTTGGCCCAGTTTTCAAGTTGGTCCAAATTGGGGTCCAAAATTAAACTTTGTTTGTTTTAAACAAAAATTGAATATATGGGGTTCTTTGATATGCTGAATCTAACCATGTATTTAGATTTTTTATTTGTGGACCCCCTATCAAATTGGTTCATATTGAGGTCAAAAGGGTCCAAAATTAAACTTTGTTTGATTTCATCAAAAATTGAATTATTGGGGTTCTTTGATATGCCAAATCTAACCGTGTATTTAGATTTTTAATTTTGGGTCCTGTTTTTAAATTGGTCTACATTAAGGTCCAAAAGGTCCAAAATTTAACTTTGTTTGATTTTAACAAAAATTGAATTCTTGGGGTTCTTTGATATGCTGAATCTAAACATGTGTTTAGATTTTTGATTATGGGCCCAGTTTTCAAGTTGGTCCAAGTTGGGGTCCAAAATTAAACTTTGTTTGATTTCAACAAAAATTGAATATATGGGGTTCTTTGATATGCTGAATCTAAACATGTATTTAGATTTTAGATTTTTGGCCCAGTTTTCAAGTTGGTCGAAATTGGGGTCCAAAATGAAACTTTGTTTGATTTCAACAAAATTTGAATATATGGGGTTCTTTGATATGCTGAATCTTACCATGTATTTAGATTTTTTATTTGTGGGCCCGCTATCAAATTGGTTCATATTGAGGTCAAAAGGGTCCAAAATTAAACTTTGTTTGATTTCATCAAAAATTGAATTATTGGGGTTCTTTGATATGCCAAATCTAACCGTGTATTTAGATTTTTAATTTTGGGTCCCGTTTTTTAAATTGGTCTACATTAAGGCCCAAAGGGTCCAAAATTAAACTTAGTTTGATTTTTAAAAAAATTGAATTTTTGGGGTTCTTTGATATGCTGAATCTAAACATGTGTTTAGATTTTTGATTATGGGACCAGTTTTCAAGTTGGTCCAAGTTGGGGTCCAAAATTAAACTTTGTTTGATTTCAACAAAAATTGAATATATGGGGTTCTTTGATATGCTGAATCTAAACATGTATTTAGATTTTAGATTTTTGGCCCAGTTTTCAAGTTGGTTCAAATTAGGGTCCAAAATTTAACTTTGTTTGATTTCAACAAAAATTGAATATATGGGGTTCTTTGATATGCTGAATCTTACCATGTATTTAGGTTTTTTATTTTGTGGGCCCGCTATCAAATTGGTTCATATTGAGGTCAAAAGGGTCCAAAATTAAACTTTGTTTGATTTCATCAAAAATTGAATTATTGGGGTTCTTTGATATGCCAAATCTAACCGTGTATTTAGATTTTTAATTTTGGGTCCCGTTTTTTAAATTGGTCTACATTAAGGTCCAAAGGGTCCAAAATTAAACTTAGTTTGATTTTAACAAAAATTGAATTCTTGGGGTACTTTGATATGCTGAATCTAAACATGTGTTTAGATTTTTGATTATGGGACCAGTTTTCAAGTTTGTCCAAGTTGGGGTCCAAAATTAAACTTTGTTTGATTTCAACAAAAATTGAATATATGGGGTTCTTTGATATGCTGAATCTAACCATGTATTTTGATTTTGGACATTGGACCATAATAGGTAAATTAAAAAAATTGAAGTTCTTAGACCACATTCTTTCTGTGTCAGAAATCTATGCTGTGTCAAATATTTAATCACAATCCAAATTTAGAGCTGTATCAAGCTTGAATGTTGTGTCCATACTTGCCCCAACTGTTCAGGGTTCGACCTCTGCGGTCGTATCAAGCTGCGCCCAGCGAAGCATTTTATTTTTTTTATAGAATGAAGAAAATAACATCTGTCTGAACTTTTTAATGTTTCATTTTTATACGACCGCAAAAATTGAAAATTTTTTGGTCGTATATTGGTATGACGTTGGCGGCGTCGTCGTCGTCGTCGTCGTCGTCGTCCGTCGTCGTCCGAAGACACATTGGTTTTCGCACTTTAACTTTAGTTTAAGTGAATGGATCTCCATGAAATTTTACCATAAGGTTCAATACCACGAAAGGAAGGTGGGGATTGATTTTGGGGGTTATGGTACCAACAGTTAAGGAATTAGGGGCCAAAAAGGGGCCAAAAATAAGCATTTTTGTAACTTCCAGACAATAACTTGTGTGTAAGTGTATGGATCTCTCTGACATTGTACCACAAGGTTCCATATCACAAAAGGAATGCTGGGATTGATTTTGGGGGTAATTGCCTCAAAATTTTAGGAATTAGGGGCCAAAAAAGGGGCAAAAAACAAGCATTTTTCTAGTTTCATGACAATAACTTGTGTGTAAGTGTTTGGATATTTCTGAAATTGTACTACAAGGTTCCATATCACAAAGGGAAAGCTGGAATTGAGTTTGGGGGTAATTGCCCGAAACGTTTAGGAATTGGGGGCCAAAAAGGGGCCAAAAATAAGCATTTTTCTAGTTTCCAGACAATAACTTGTGTTCAAGTGTATGGATCTCTCTGAAATTGTACTGCAAGGTACCATACCACAAAGGGAAGGCTGGGATTGAGTTTGGGGGTGATGAATCATAAGGGGGTTCAAAAAATTGGGGGGGGGGGGATTTTTTTTTTCTTTTTTTTTCTTTTTTTCCTTTTTTTTTTCTTTTAAAATTTCCCATTTTAAGTTGGTTATTTCTGATTAATATTTAAAAGCAAATAATAATGATATGGTAGGAGATACACACCAAACAGGATGTGTAAATTATTATATAATAAGTATTGTGCAATAGCAAGAAATTTTCAATTGCACAGTATTGCACAATTGCAAGAAATCTTCAATTGCACAGTATTGCGTAATAGCAAGAAATCTTCAATTGCACAGTATTGCGCAATAGCAAGAAATATCCAATAGCACAATATTGCGCAATAGCAAGAAATTGTCAATTGTACAGTATTGCACAATAGCAAGAAATATTCAATTGCACAGTATTGTGCAAAAGAAGATACTTCGTATAAATTGCTTATTTCTTGATCAATTTCAATGGGGTTTTATTCTTGAATTCTTGGGGTTCTTTAATATGCTGAATCTAACCGTGTATTAAGTTTTTGGATTTTGGGCCCCGTTTTTAAATTGGTCCACATTGAGGTCCAAAGGGTTCAAAATTTAACTTTGTTTGATTTCATCAAAAATTGAATTATTGGGGTTCTTTGATATGCCGAATCTAACCGTGTATTTAGATTCTTAATTTTTGGTTCCGTTTTCAAATTGGTCTACATTAAGGTCAAAAGGGTCCAAAATTAAACTTAGTTTGATTTTAACAAAAATTGAATTTTTAGGGTACTTTGATATGTTGAATCTAAACATGTATTTAGATTTTTTATTATTGGCCCAGTTTTCAAGTTGGTCCAAATCGGGGTCCAAAATTAAACTTTGTTTGATTTCAACAAAAATTGAATATATGGGGTTCTTTGATATGCTGAATCTAACCATGTATTTAGATTTTTGATTTTTGGGCCCCGTTATCAACTTTGTCCACATTGAGGTCAAAAGGGTCAAAAATTAAACTTTGTTTGATTTCATCAAAAATTGAATTCTTGGGGTTCTTTGATATGCTGAATCTAACCATGTATTTAGATTTTTTATTTGTGGACCCGCTATCAAATTGGTTCATATTGAGGTCAAAAGGGTCCAAAATTAAACTTTGTTTAATTTCATCAAAAATTGAATTATTGGGGTTCTTTGATATGCCGAATCTAACCGTGTATTTAGATTTTTAATTTTGGGTCCCGTTTTTAAATTGGTCTACATTAAGGTCCAAAGGGTCCAAAATTAAACTTAGTTTGATTTTAACAAAAATTGAATTCTTGGGGTTCTTTGATATGCTGAATCTAAACATGTGTTTAGATTTTTGATTATGGGCCCAGTTTTCAAGTTGGTCCAAGTTGGGGCCCAAAATTAAACTTTGTTTGATTTCAACAAAAATTGAATATATGGGGTTCTTTGATATGCTGAATCTTACCATGTATTTAGATTTTTTATTTTGTGGGCCTGCTATCAAATTGGTTCATATTGAGGTCTAAAGGGTCCAAAATTAAACTTTGTTTGATTTTAACAAAAATTGAATTTTTGGGGTTCTTTGATATGCTGAATCTAAACATGTGTTTAGATTTTTGATTATGGGACCAGTTTTCAAGTTTGTCCAAGTTGGGGTCCAAAATTAAACTTTGTTTGATTTCAACAAAAATTGAATATATGGGGTTCTTTGATATGCTGAATCTAACCATGTATTTTGATTTTGGACATTGGACCATAATAGGTAAATTAAAAAAATTGAAGTTCTTAGACCACATTCTTTCTGTGTCAGAAACCTATGCTGTGTCAAATATTAAATCACAATCCAAATTCAGAGCTGTATCAAGCTTGAATGTTGTGTCCATACTTGCCCCAACTGTTCAGGGTTCGACCTCTGCGGTCGTATCAAGCTGCGCCCAGCGAAGCATTTTATTATATATAAAAATGTTTTTCTGTTACAAATCATGATGTATTGTTTTATGTGTACATGTTATGCTGCCCATCAAGGGCCCTTGATTGGAATAATAAATATTCTTATTCTTATTCTTATAACCAATTTCAAGTTCTTTGAATACATTTATTCAGAAACCTATAATATGTCAAATATTTAATTACAATCCAAATTCAGACCTGAATCAAGCTTGAATATTGTGTCCATTTTTGCCCCAACTGTTCAGGGTTGGACCTCTGCAGGCGTATCTAGCTGCGCTCAGCGAAGCAGTTTATTATGGAAGATAACTTCATTGACTAGACTGAAGTTGACTAGTTTTGAGATAAATTCATAAAATGATTTGCTGTGTTTTACATCATTACTCTCCTATTGAGCATTTTACATGGGACAGCAAAACGATGCAACAAGTTGTAAAAAAACTGAAACCAAACATATAGTCAGTCTGTAATTTAAGACTAAAAAACAAAGAAATAACAAGTGAAACAGACCTTATAGTTTATTTCAGTTAATAAGTGGATCAATTTCTTCTAGGCTGGGATCACAGTTCAACTCTGCTTCACTAATGATTTCCATAAACAAACATTCAGTCCCCCCCCCCCCCCCCCCCAAAAAAAATAAAAAAATTGTGTTCTTAAAAATAATCTGTTATAAAACAAGTAACACTTTCTGCAAAAAATGTAATTGGACTCATGTATATATTATATTTATTATAAAACTTTTCATTTCAGAGAACTTTGACTGGACACAAGAATATAATTCGATATGTAGACTCTAGTATTACTTTGACTCCTAACCGAGTCTATGAAGTGATGATATTAATGCAGTATTGTAGATGTGAGTGTCTTGTATGGGGTTATTAGTTTTACGAAAACTAGAAAAAGTAGAAACAATCAAATATTATTCTAACCATGTTTTAGAAGCTTCAGCAATGCAAGCAAAGTAATCTCGGAATGACAAACTGGTAACATAAAAGTTAGGGCCCAGGTTAAAATCAGCAGAGCTTTATAGTAATCACTCCTGTCTGTAAATGCATGTCTGTCTTTCTGTCGGTTCACACTTCTATGATGTATGCTAAGTCAAGATTGCCTCTACTGATTTCAATATTTTTTATGCACAGTGTTATATTGATAAAAGAGAGGCGAAGGATACTGAATTGACATTCAAACTCACAAGTCGAAAATAAACTGACAACGCCATGGCTAAAAAAGAAAAAGACAAACAGACAAACAACAGTACACAAAACACAACATAGAAAACCAAAGAATGAGCAACACAAACTCCACCAAAAGCTGGGGGTGATCTCAGGTGCTCTGGAAGGGAAAGCAGATCCTGCTCCACAAAGGCGTCTTTCAATTTTTATAAATATTAGTAAATAAATTTTGGTTAAAAAATCACAAAATTTTGAGAAATTCTTTTTGCAAGTGCAAAATCTCCAGAAGTATGACTAGGGTTGGAACACAATTTTGTACAGTTGTTGTGTCTCATATGTAGATTGTGAATATGAATATTGTAGATTATGTATTTTTTGTGGAAATTTGGGGAAAATAATTGCAGTAAAGAATTACAAATTTTGAGAAACAGTTTTATGTGCTAGGATTTCAATGACATTTTTTTTCTGATGTCTAAATTATTTTTGGTCACCATAATATGTTAAACATTGAAAGTGCATGGATTTTTACAAAATTTGATACATAGGTAGAAAAATAATATCATTTCTGGTGTCATGAAATTATCTACTGGCTTCCATAATCAAAATGTATTGATTTCAGGGGTTTTTGTTTCTGTGACTTACACAACACTGTGCAGTCATGGCCCTTGAATGACTTTCAAGAGCTGATATTGTGATTATACTGTGGTTTTTTTTCTTCGATTTGCTGATATTTGAATAACTTCAACTTAAATGCTAATATTTGAATATGACTTCTCTTAGAGAGATGGTAATCAGAATAAAACTAGTAATTCATATGAAACAAGATATTTTCTATTAAAAAAAAAACACCACAAAAATTATTATTTTTTATTAGTTTTTTAACAACACTTTCAAAATAAAAACACATAGAAACTAAATACTGTACTACTGTTACTGTTATTATAAATGGATGAATAAATTGTTACAACAAAATGACAGTCTTGTGAATGATTGTATTTTTTTGCATTTGATGTCTTTTAAAACTGATGTCATGTGATTTAATTCCAGCCAATGTGATACAGTTAATGAATGACAGACTGACTGTAGGTTTTACAGAGAAAGAAGTGCTACGTATTTTCTGTGATACTTGTGAAGCTGTTGCCAGACTTCATCATTGCCAAACACCGATAATCCACAGGGATTTAAAGGTAAAACTTTCAAAGATTTATATTCAAGGCATTTTATAGATTTTGAAGTAGATATTTTAAGATGGATAAAAGGACGACTATCTGCTTACTGCATACACAATTTTTATATAGTAGACAGCAGTGGAGCAGCTTTGCTGGTGGAAATCCACTGTCAACAATATACTTTTGAAAGCTATGTTATATTTTGTGCCCTCTTTTCTCTATGTTTTTCTGTGAATTTCTCCTTTTAACAACCCTGACAGTTGTATAGTTCGAGCTCTTATGGAATAGTCTTATTACTTCACTTTATTAAGGGTGTACTATAAATATGGAGAGTCTGTCCATTCGTTTGTTTGTTCATCGTTGGTCTTATGTATCTACAACTGCTGCTGAACCACACGACAGAATTTTATGAAACTTTTACAGAATCTTACCCACATGATGTTATTTTGCACTTCATTTTTCAAATCTTTATCTGAAAGATTTTGGCAGTTAACTTTGGCATGACATGGGCTTTGTCATATCCACACAATGCAGTTCACATTTGTATCTGCTTCTCCTAAACCCCTAATCCGAATTTATTGAAACTTTCTCTGAATCTTTCCCATATAAATATTTTGTACACCTCTTAAATTTTTTATATATATTTTTTTCAGGGTTAACTCTTTAATAGCAAATCCATGACTTCACCATTGTATCATCTTTGGGTACCCATTTTGTATTTGCAACTCCTTCAAAACTCCTTATTAGAAATTATCTAAACTGAAGTCTTAACCATATTATATTATTGTGCACCTCTTATTTTGAGTTTTATTTGTCTAAATTTACTTTTTTGGTTTCCCTAAGCAATCATTGACCTTGCCATTGCTTTAATTTATGTGGGGGAAGGACGTATTATTTTGTGAGTTTTGCTAGCAGTACCTCTAGTTGTCAAGCCTGCGACTTTTGTCGCAGAAAGCTCGACATAGGGATAGTGATCCGGCGGCGACGGGGGCGTTAGCTTACTTCTTAAAAGCTTTATATTTTAGAAGGTAGAAGACCTGGATGCTTCATACTTTGTATATAGATTCCTTATGTTACGAAGTTTCCGTCTGTCACATGTCCATTGTCCTTGACCTCATTTTCATGGTTCAGTGACTACTAGAAAAAAAAAGTTGTGATTTTTTGTAATGTTAATTTCTCTCTTATTATGAGTAATGTTATAACTTTATTTGGTATGTGCGTACCTATCAAGGTCCTCATGCCCGTCAGACGGTTTTCACTTGACCTCGACCTCATTTCATGGATCAGTGAACAAGGTTAACTTTTGGTGGTCAAGTCCATATCTCAGATACTATAAGCAATAGGATTGTAAGGTGTACATGTCCAACTGGCAGGTGTCATCTGACCTTGACCTCATTTTCATGGGTTAGTGGTTATAGTTAAGTTTTTGTGTTTTGGTCCGTTTTTCTTATACTTTATGCAATAGGTCTACTATGTTTGGTGTATGGAATGATTGTAAGGTGTACATGTCCAACTGGCAGGTGTCATCTGACTTTGACCTCATTTTCACGGTTCAGTGGTCAAAGTTAAGTTTTTGAGTTTTGGTTTTTTTTCTTATACTATATGCAATAAGTCAACTATATTTGGTGTATGGAAATATTCTATGATGTACATGTCAGTCTCGCAGGTTTTATTTGACCTTGACCTCATTTTCACGGTTCATTGCTCAGTGTTAAGTTTATGTGTTTCAGTCTGTTTTTCTTAGACTATAAGCAATAGGTCAGCTATATTTGTTGTATGGAAGGATTGTAAGCTGTTCATGTCTGCCTGGCATAGTTCATCTGACCTTGACCTCATTTTCACGATTCATTGGTCAATGTTTAGTTTTCTTGTTTAAGTCTGTTTCTTAGAAACTATAAGCAATAGGTCAACTATATTTAGTGTATTGAATGATTGTAAGGTGTACATGTATTTCTCGTTTGGTTTATATGACCTTGACTTCATTTTCTTGGATCATGTTAAGTTTATGTAATAGTTGTAGTAAAGCTTTCATTTAGGACTATCAACATAATATCAATGGTTAGTAAAGAAGGCGAGACATTTCAGCGTGTGCACTCTTGTTTTTATCTAGTGATTGGGAAACAAAAACTACATAATAAAATTATTGATAGATATCACATTTAATCAATAAATTTTGTTTTCTTACAATTTTTTGTGAGTCAATAGCATACCTGCCAGCTTTTGAAAATCCCCATAGGGATTTTTGGTGCGACAACATTATTAAATGTTACAATTTTTCGCGGCGTTTTTGTACTCTGGAATAGTGTCATATCTTTTTTTTCTTATGGTATACTGATGAAGTGCTAATATTAAAGCCCTTTTCTTCTTTTTATGTGCATAATTCTTCTACTTATATTATTGTGTAGAAGAGTTAGTACATAAGCTAGAATACCAGCAAATATCTTTTATCAATTTAGAAATATGGACAAAGAAAAACATTTTTTCTGATTCCTATTGAAAAATAAAAGACGGTACTTTAAATGATTTGATAATTTAATAACAAGAATAACAACACTGTAGGATCTGTTACAATATAAAGTGTAATGTCCATAAGCTACTATTTGATATGTTCATGGTAGCAGAGCAAATCAAATTGCATCAAAGTAAGCACTGTTCAGTAACTTATTTTCAAATTTTAATAGTCTGATTTAACTCAACATGCTCACATAAATGAAAATATTTAATGAACAATTTTTATACGACCGCAAAAAAATTTTGTGGTCGTATATTGGTATGACGTTGGCGTCGTCGTCGTCGTCGTCGTCGTCGTCGTCCGGCGTCGTCGTCGTCGTCGTCCGGCGTCGTCGTCCGAATACATATTGGTTTTCGCACTCTAACTTTAGTTTAAGTGAATGGATCTTTTTGAAATTTGACCATAAGGTTAAATACCACAAAAGGAAGGTTGGGATTGATTTTGGGGGTTATGGTACCAACAGTTAAGGAATTAGGGGCCAAAAAGGGGCCAAAAATGAGCATTTTCTAGTTTCCAGACAATAACTGTGGAACGGTGTATGGATCTCTCTGAAATTATACTACAAGTTTCCATACCACAAAGGGATGGTTAGGATTTGCTTTGGGGGGTTATGGCTCAAACCGTTTAGGAATTAGGGGCAAAAAAGGGGGAAAAACAAGGTTGTCCTGGTTAATGGACAAATACTTTAGTACAAAACATAATTTAAAGCAGTGTAAGGGAGATAAATCAAATACATCATTGAAATTATCTCCCTTACACTGCTTTTAAATTATGTATAAAGTAATGGTTAATGAACAATAAAGATAATCTAAAACAGTGTAAGGGAGGTAATCCAAATACAACGTTTTGGTTACTTCCCTTACACTGCTTTTAAATTATGTTTAAAGAAATGCATATTTATAAAGGAAGACCAGTAAAAATATCTGCAAATGTTTTCATCTTTTTATTTTACAAAAAAATCCATATGAAAGATTTGACACTATATTTTTATTAATTCTATTATAAAATAGATTAAGTTAGCACTATGGTAAATTTAAATGGGTAATTATGGTTGCCAACTCCATTGGAAATTTGAATTGAGATTATGACCATATCTTGAGGGAAAGAATTTTTTGGGGGGAAAAAGGGGGGGGGGATAAAAAGAAATTGTGGGGGGCCAATTTTTTCTCATTTCAGATTTCAGAAATTAAAAAGAATTATTCTTCAAATATTATTTTTTTTTCAAATTTCAAGAAGTAATCTTTAATTGCACAGTATGGCGCATTAGATTTGTAAAATCTTTGATCACATTTATTTATTTGTTATGCCGAATCTAACAGTGTATTTAGATTTTTAATTTTGGGTCAAGTTTTCAAATTGGTCTACATTAATGTCCAAAGGGTCCAAAATTAAACTTTGTTTGATTTTAGCAAAAATTGAATATATGAGGTTCTTTGATATGCTGAATCTAAACATGTATTTAGATTTTTGATTTTTGGCCCAGTTTTCAAGTTGGTCCAAATTGGGGTCCAAAATTTAACTTTGTTTGATTTCAACAAAAATTGAATATATGGGGTTCTTTGATATGCTGAATCTAACCATGTATTTAGATTTTTTATTTGTGGACCCCTTTATCTAATTGGTTCATATTGAGGTCAAAAGGGTCCAAAATTAAACTTTGTTTGATTTCATCTAAAATTGAATTATTGGGGTTCTTTGATATTCCAAATCTAACCGTGTATTTAGGTTTTTAATTTTGGGTCCTGTTTTTTAAATTGGTCTACATTGAGGTCCAAAGGGTCCAAAATTAAACTTAGTTTGATTTTAACAAAAATTGAATTCTTGGGGTTCTTTGATTTGCTGAATCTAAACATGTGTTTAGATTTTTGATTATGGGCCCAGTTTTCAAGTTGGTCCAAGATAGGGTCCAGTATTTAAACTTTGTTTGATTTCAACAAAAATTGAATATATGGGGTTCTTTGATATGCTGAATCTAAACATGTATTTAGATTTTTGATTATGGGCCCAGTTTTCAAGTTGGTCCAAATTGGGGTCCAAAATTAAACTTTGTTTGATTTCAACAAAAATTGAATATATGAGGTTCTTTGATATGCTGAATCTAACCATGTATTTAGATTTTTTATTTGTAGGCCCCGCTATCAAATTGGTTCATATTGAGGTCAAAAGGGTCCAAAATTAAACTTTGTTTGATTTCATCGAAAATTGAATTATTGGGGTTCTTTGATATGCCAAATCTAACCGTGTTTTTAGATTTTTAATTTGGGTCCTGTTTTTTAAATTGGTCTTCATTGAGGTCCAAAGGGTCCAAAATAAAACTTAGTTTGATTTTAACAAAAATTGAATTCTTGGGGTTCTTTGATATGCTGAATCTAAACATGTGTTTAGATTTTTGATTATGGGCCCAGTTTTCAAGTTGGTCCAAGTTGGGGTCCAAAATTAAACTTTTTTTGATTTCAACAAAAATTGAATATATGGCAATGTATGGGGTTCTTTGATATGCTGAATCTAACCATGAATTTAGAGTTTTTATTTGTGGGCCCCGCTATCAAATTGGTTCATATTGAGGTCAAAAGGGTCCAAAATAAAACTTTGTTTGATTTCATCAAAAATTGAATTATTGGGGTTCTTTGATATTCCAAATCTAACCGTGTATTTAGATTTTTAATTTTAAGTCCCGTTTTTTAAATTGGTCTACATTAAGGTCCAAAGGGTCCAAAATTAAACTTAGTTTGATTATAGCAAAAATTGAATTCTTGGGGTTCTTTGATATGCTGAATCTAAACATGTGTTTAGATTTTTGATTATGGGCCCAGTTTTCAAGTTTGTCCAAGTTGGGGTCCAAAATTAAACTTTGTTTGATTTTAACAAAAATTAAATATATGGGGTTCTTTGATATGCTGAATCTAACCATGTATTTTGATTTTGGACATTGGACCATAATAGGTAAATTAAAAAAATTCAAGTTCTTAGACCACATTCTTTCTGTGTCAGAAACCTATGCTGTGTCAAATATTTAATAACAATCCAAATTCAGAGCTGTATCAAGCTTGAATGTTGTGTCCATATTTGCCCCAACTGTTCAGGGTTCGACCTCTGCGGTCGTATCAAGCTGCGCCCCAGCGAAGCATTTTATTTTTTATTTTAAACTGTACATGCGCTGCTTGCATGACCATCTTGAGTTGCTCATCATCTGGTTGTACTAAATAATTACTGACAGACTTGGTAGTGTTCCTAGCTATGAAGGGGCTTCTGATGAAGTTTTCAGTCCTTACATGCTTTGATACGTCATTGTGGACATTGTGGTCAATGTTCTGGTCTCTATCATAATTTTATTGCAGACTTTGCAAAAGGCATATGATATGTATATCGTTAGATTTGTCAAACAGCCCACGTTTCTTTTTAAGCAGCATAAGAACCTTCTTGCAGATGAAAATACATCCACCATGATTACAATTTTTACTATTCTGGCATACAGACAGAGAAATATGACTCAAAAGTTCCAAACAAGTTCAAATTTTTCCATGTTTGTAATACCCCATTATCATGAGAACCACTGATTATGATTGGCTTAATAATGTAATCATGAGAAACATCAATTTTCATTTGCTGATCACGATTGTCTCCCTTAGGAAAAGTTAAAATCGGGGAACCAACATTTTTTTTCATGTAGATTTTCCAAAAATCATGTTTTGGAGCTTTTTTCAAAAACACAATTGTGCAATCAGGACAAGGGGTGAAAATCGTGTAGTTCACACCTGATTTGTGAAAGTTGGTAGGTATGCAATAGTTTTATGTATTATATTAGTTTTAACATTATTATTTCAGGTTGAGAATTTATTATTATCAGATAGTCACCATTATGTATTATGTGATTTTGGGAGTTCTACTGCCAGAGTTTTAGATCCTAGTCAAATAAATGTGTCACAAATTGAAGAGGAAATTCAAAAGTAAGATGTTTTTATTACTTGAGTCTTGAATACATAACAAAAACTGATGAATATTCTTAAGTGTAAAAATATAGATTCAATCAAGCCAATAAATGCATTCCAGAATTTCCATTTTTTGCAGTAACCCTTTCATTTAAATGCAGAACTTTTAGGTAATTAGATTAGCAGTTTCATTTGTAATTTACATCCTTATTTAATTCATTAGCTTACGTAATCATATCAGGTCAAATCTTTTCAACAATTTCAAGGACATTTATATGCTAAAAATTGTAAGTGAATTGCCTCAGTGGTCTATTAGCGTGCTAAGAGGAGGTTCTGAGATCTATCCTGGCTGGGTCAAACCAAAGAATTGAAAATGAGTATTGGCTGCTTCTCCATTAACCATGCAGCATTTAGGAGTCACAGCAAAGACTGGTTGACTCAAAGTTAGAAAAATTTGTCCAGTCTGGTGACATGTTTTCCGAGTGACTGTTACCATTTTGACTAGCATGATAAAAATCTGGCTCAGCTTGTCTGTCTATTATCATGATTATTTGTGATGGTGATGCATTGATGGCTGTTTGTTATGTTATACACAAGTAGTTTTGATTTATTTGTTTTTCCTAACTACATGCAACTTTTAGGCCAACGTGATTTTGTATTAAATGTTATTGTATATTTTCAGGTACACAACAGTATCATATAGGGCACCAGAAATGATAGATCTGTATAATGGTAAACCTATAACAACAAAGTCAGATATTTGGGTAAGATATCATATAGGGCACCAGAAATGATAGATCTGTATAATGGTAAACCTATAACAACAAAGTCAGCTATTTGGGTAAGATATCATATAAGGTCCCAGAAATGATAGATCTTTATAATGGTAAACCTATAAAAACAAAGACAGATATCATATAGGGCACCAGAAATGATAGATCTTTATAATGGTAAACCTATAACAACAAAGTCAGATATTTGGGTAAGATATCATATAGTGCACCAGAAATAATAGATCTATATAATGGTAAACCTATAACAAAAAAGTTAGATATTTGGGTAAGATATTCTTGCAAGTCGATCTGCATTATACTTGAATAATTTGTAATCTTGTACAATATTCATATAAAAAAAACCATGGCATATAAGTTTGAATGACTAGATATTGACAGCATTCAAATTATTTTGAAGCTCTTTTTAAAAACATTTTTATAGTTAATACCATTTCCTTCTTCAGTTTCACATCTTACAATATCACTAAGCCTGAGTGAGCCAACACCATCCTCAGTCATCTCAATTAGACAGTGGGTTTATAGATATAGATTAACATATCTGGGTTTCATGCAGATTGCTTTGACTCACTCTTCAACTCTTTTTTTTACAAAAATAGAAACTAGAGGCAAGTGTTCAAAAATTTGAAAATTAGGCTACATAGCAATAGTTTAGTTTGATACATGTAAAACTTTTTTGTTTGTTTGCAGGCATTAGGATGTTTTCTATATAAGCTATGTTTCTTCAGCTTGCCATTTGGAGAGAGTACTTTAGCTATTCAATCGGGTAACTTCACCATTCCAGATGAATGTAAATATTCAAATAAACTGTTATCTTTAATAGGTGAGTATTGCTTTTGTATGGAAAATATTTCTAAGTATCTGTAAAACATATTGAAAACTTAGAACAGGCTGCTTAGGATAAACCTAGACAATAATGCTATAGGGCTGTTCTATTATTGATGTGAGAGGATGGCAAGGGAGTTCCAAAATCCTCCTACAACCAACTTACTTCCTGTAGTAATTTTGTAAACCTCAAATGGACATACATGTAAAGCAAAAATTTGATCTACAGGGTGTGTCCAAAAATAATGCTTCCCTTCCTGCCCTAACACATGCATTTTAATGGAGTAACCCTAATAAGAATACACATGTGAAATTTTGTTTAAATAGATCAATGAACATGAAGCTTTTTTTTGTTTCAAGGTAAATTTCTGATTGTTTGTGTAACATTTGAATTAAAGAAACTTAAAAGAGAAAACAATTCATTGTATGTTTTAATGTAATGAGGGTAAATAGAAAGTAATTTACAAAATTCTTACAGCTTATATACTTGGGTGTATAAAGAACAAAGATATTAATCTTGTTTGTTATAGAATAGGTGGACCATAAAAAAAAACTTGGACTGCCTATTAAAAAAGTAACAATTGTTAATACTAGCCGATCAAATAATTGGATTGGTAACAAACAGATGATTGAAATCTTTTTTTTTGCTAAAGATAATAAAAGAATTCATAGATCACCTATTAACAAACAAGCAAACTGTACTTTCATGCTATTTTGTAGGGTATATGTTGGAAGTTGATCCTGAAAAGAGACCTGATATATTTCAAGTTTCTCATTTAGCATTTAAATTAGTTGGAGGAGAGACTCCTATTCCTAACATGAATGTAAGTACTATAGAAACAAAATATATCTAAGTTGATTATTGTGAATTTGTACCGTAATTTTTTTAAAGGATATGCCTGAAATAGTCTTACAAAAAAATGTGTATATGGTAACCATGGTTGATATAGCAATATAAAAAATTGTCTAATATCTCCACAGGAACAAAGCAAAATATATTTGGCAAGTTTTGGTTTAAGAGCATTTGACAGGAAAGACATGTCTGTGAACATACTTCAATATGTGAATAACCAAAAATAGTTAATATTTTGTTGAATTCTAGGATTGTGTTGTTTGATATTAAGGATGTAGTCATGTCAGGTTAAGGGATTTTTGTCAAATGTTCGGTCTCCTTGGGTTTTTGTTGAGCCTGCGAAATTTATTTCACGAAAGCGAGAGACAGCAATCCCAGATTCCGTCGTCGGCAGCAGCAACAATTAGGTTTAGTCTGTGGTTAAAGTTTTTTAAGACGTCAATAAATTTGTCAAACCTACATGGAATTTTATGAAATTTGGACAGAAGCTTGTTTGTGACCAAAATACAGTATCCAGAGCAAAATTTTGAATATATTTATTCATTTTTCCGTATTTTACTGATAATTGGACTTAGTTTTTATACGCCCGTCAATTTTTGACGGGACGTATACAAATGTCCGTCTGTATGTCCGGCGTAAACATGTCGCACCGTAACTTGAGAATGACTTATCCAAATTTCATGAAACTTAACATAGTTGTTTCTTATGATTGTCAAACGATCTGTATACTTTTTGGTGAAATTAAGATTAAAACTTTTTGAGTTACGGGACTTAGTAACTAAAACAGGTGTGTGTTTTTTTTCACATGTCGCGCCGTATCTCAAAAACAATTTATGATTATTGCTTAAAACTTTACACACTTCTTAGTTATATTAATCTTAAGATCTGTATACTTTTTGGTGATGATTCAAAATTTTATTTTAGAGATATTGAGTATTTTGTTAAAATAGGGGGAGGGGTTTTTCACATGTCGCGCCGTATCTCAAAAACAGTTTATGATTATTGCTTAAAACTTTACACACTTCTTAGTTATATTAACCTTAAGATCTGTATACTTTTTGGTGATGATTCAAAATTTTATTTTTGAGTTATTGAGTATTTTGTAAAAAAAGGGGGAGGGTTTTTTCACATGTCGCGCCGTATCTCAAAAACGATTTATGATTATTGCTTAAAATTTTACACACTTCTTAGTTATATTAATCTAAAGATCTGTATACTCTTTGGTTTTGATTCAAAATTTTATTTTAGAGATATTGAGTTTTTTCTAAAAAAAAAAAAGGGGGTTTTCGCATGTCACGCCGTATGTCAGAAACTATTTATGCTTATTGCATAAAAATTCACACACAAGACGACGGGCGTATCATGCGCTCATGGCGCAGCTGTTTATTTTACACTTAATATTCAGATTCAGTCTGGGGTTAAAGTTTTTCAGTCATCAATAGCTTTGTCAAACCTTCATGGAATTATATGAAATTTGGACAGAAGCTTGTAAATGACCAAAATACAGTATCCAGAGCAAAATTTTGAAAATAATTATTTTCATTTTTCTGTATTTTACTGATAAATGGACTTAGTTTTTTTTACAATCAACAAGTAGATACAGTCTGGGGTTAAAGTTAGTTACACACCAAATACTTTGTCAAACCTTCATAGTATCTTATGAAACTTTTTATGATTAAAAGATAATGTCTGCAGCAAACTTTTGAAAAAATATTTTCATTTTCAGTATTTTTCTGATAGATGGACAGTCTGGGATTAAATTTTTTTGACATGATAAGTTTGCTTACCTTCATGGATTGTTACGAATCTTGGACAGAAGCTAATCTTCAAGACCAAGAAATAGCATCTAAAGAGAAAGTGATTTTTTTTAAAATTCTGTATTTTACTGATAAATGGACTCCCTTTTTAAGTCAACATTACACTTTTACACTGACAGCAGCAATTGTAGGTGAGACACAGGGTTCCAGGGAACCCCTTATGAATTTTTTCCTATGATACAGGGTAAAATATTTTACCCCATATCACCCACTTTTCTTTTCATAGAATACTTCAATAGCTCATTAAAAGGTTACCAAAATTCAAGCAGATTCTAGATTTCTTTTCTTACAATTTGAGACCTAAATAGTTCTAATGCTAAATATAAAGTAAAAGTCTGAATCAGCCTTTTCCTGCCATTATTTTAAATTTCAATTTCTCGAAAAGGAGTTCCATAATCTATCATTATTTTAAGGTTATTTTGTTCCTTAACTAATGCTCTTCTGACATATGGTATCTATTTCAAGTTCTAGATTTTTTTAAATTTCACCTGACTACATCCTTTGAATAAGTCATTTAACAAACATCCAAATTATATGAATTCATATTTGTCTGTTTCATGCTGATAACAATTATTCTGGAAAAAATATAGATGTATGTTTGTCTGATATAATGTCTGCATATTCCTGTAATATGTTCATGTGATCATGTTCATTCACATAGCTGTTTGTTTGTTTTTCCAGAATTTAGAAATACCAGATTTTTCAAGAATACCAGTTCCTATGACAGAAACTGAAGCCAGACAAATCAAAACTTCCTCAGTCAAGTAAGTCACTAGCTAAGAAGAATTGAAATAAATGACAAGTTGTTAATCATGTTAGAAACTGAAGGTGATCATTTAAACTCCCTTAAATGTGTGATTGAAGGCCTCAGGAAAGATTTATAGCTCACTGTGTTACCTTCATTATAAAACAAAAATTATTGTTATTATTATTGTAATAGAATTGAACAATTTCTGGGGGTACATAGGAATTATAAACTAGTCAGTCAGAACCACCATCTTTGCTTTTGATAGAATGTGCTTCAAACAGTTTGAAAGATAATTTTATATGCAAACAACATTATATGCTGCAGATTTTTTTTGTACTTTTCATTTTATCCAGAGGTATGCCCTTTTCAACTTAAGAAATATGAACTTTTTCACCCCAACATAAATTTTTTTTTAAGTACTCACCTTCTCATCTCGTTTTCCATGTTTTATACTTGTAACTTGATAAAATGTTAGATCTTAGTAGGAAGTTCCTGTCCATTGAAATTTATAAAAAGTTAACGATAAAATGATTTTCTTACATTGCATTTAGAAGTGTGATAGCTCCATCAATAGAAAGTACAACAGTTACACCAAGGTCAAGGCCTAAAGGTCAGGCTGTACCAGCACCTCTTGGGTTACCAACATCTATAGCTCCAAGAAAACGTCCTACAGCTCAAGGTAAATATAGTAAACATATCAATGATTTTATATAACATGAAATATTTCTCCCCAAAACAGTAGGTTAAAACAACTGTTGTGGGTATTTCTCATTTATAAATATTTGGACATTTCTCAAGTTAAATAAGTGTGTACATGGTTCATCAAATTTAATCATGCTTATGTGTTAGGGAAATCTTGAATTCTTTATATGCTCTCTTTGATAGCATCAAACAAGTTCTTGATGCATCCTATAGTGACATGTAGAAAAATTTGATTAGCTCACTATGGCCATTGTTACTCTTTCAATCGTTAGTAAACAAAGGTATTAAGCATTTGATGGACCACCATACAAACATGCAATCTAATGGTATGCAAAACTTACTCAAAATGACAGCAAGATATTTTTGAATTGAAAAAGAAATAAATCAACTTTTAACATATTCACGTTTATACTCCTTTACAGCAAAAACTGAAAAATGTAAAAGTAAGATGTGGTATGCATGTTAATCAAAAAAATCTCAACTTTTTTAATGCTCCACCAAAGTTTTACAATATTTTCTTTGCTTACTACATCCAGGTCTATTTAGGTAAAAACATGGTTAATAATGGTCTATACACTCAAATTGAGAGCTGTTACAATTTTAATCTAATTGAAAATAGCAAAATGAGGCCCCAAAATTATGAAAATAGAAGAACCTATGCAGGATAAATTTAGTACTAGTCATCATAGTCATGGTATTCATTCACATGAATTTTTAAATTTCGAAGCAAAACATTCTGTGTCCCTAATAGTCGAAGCAAAACATACTGTGTCCCTAATAGTCAAAGCAAAACATACTGTGTCCCTAAAAGTTGAAGCAAAACATACTGTGTCCCTAATAGTCGAAGCAAAACATACTGTGTCCCTAATAGTCGAAGCAAAACATACTGTGTCCCTAATAGTTTCAAAAGTTTTGGTATTTATAGGAATTTTAAACCTTATTTAGCTTTTCTTATTTAATTCCATCTTAATTATCATACAAAGATTGATGATGTTAAGATATGATGCATGCAGACTGCCATGCTTAATCATAAATATGTAATTAAGGGTTAATATTTTGTAGCTTTATTGTAAATATTAACGAAGTTCTGTGAATTTTTTTGTTGTTTGTGTTTTTTTAAATAAATTCAGACATCATTGTGTTACAATTTTTTTTTTTGTGAACACTATATAATTGACATTCGTTCTAAGTATTAAAACTAAGTCATTTTGAATTTATAGATCCGCCCCCTGTTCAGCCAAGTCAGCAACAGGCTATGTTGCAGAAGCAGGCACAGCAGCATCAACAAGCTCTTCAGCAACAGGCTTTGCAACAAAAAGCGTTACAGCAACAAGCCTTACAACAACAACAGGCACTTCAACAACAGCAGGCTCTTCAACAACAACAGGCTTTAAAGCAACAGGCCATGTTACAACAGCAGGCCTATCAACAACAGATGTATCAACAAAGTACTGCTTATACACAACAAATGAATATGCAACAAACTCAATATATGCAACAACAGCCATATTTGAATGCTCCTCAAATGCCAATGTCTCGGTCATTCCATGGACAATCTACTCCTAGTCAACCCATTGTTAATAGCAATAGCTTGGACAATATGTATTCAAAGGCTTATGTGATAAAGGATGACAGTGGAGATTTTAAAAAGCCTCCTGTTCCTCCTAAACCAAAACCTACCAAGGATAACTATGGGGTAGGTTACATATGTCCTCCTAAACCAAAACCTATCAGTGATAAGTATGAGGTAGGTTATGTGTGTCCTCCTAAACCAAAACCTTCCAAGGATAACTATGGGGTAGGTTACATATGTCCTCCTAAACCAAAACCTATCAGTGATAAGTATGAGGTAGGTTATGTGTGTCCTACTAAACCAAAATCTACCAATGATAACTATGGGGTAGGTTACATATGTCCTCCTAAACCAAAACCTATCAGTGATAAGTATGGGGTAGGTTATGTTTGTCCTAAACCAAAACTCACCAAGGATAATTATGAGGTAGGTTATGTGTGTCCTCCTAAACCAAAACCTACCAGTGATTAGTATGGGTTAGGTTATGTGTGTCCTCCTAAACTAAAACCTACCAAGGATAATTATGAGGTAAGTTATGTGTGTCCTCCTAAACCAAAATTTACCAGTGATAAGTATGGGGTAGGTTACATATGTCCTCCTAAACCAAAACCTACCAGTGATAAGTATGGGGTAGGCAACAACATTCTAACAGAAACCAATTAGTCGAGTATCATTTTTGGTATTCGATACTCGGTACTACCGAGCGATACTCGAGAACTCGAGTAGCGATACTCGAGAACTCGAGTACTCGTTGACATCCCTAATTTTTATTATACGACCGCAAAAATTAAAAATTTTTTGGTCGTATATTGGTATGACGTTGGCGTCGTCGTCGTCTGGCGTCGTCCGAAGACACATTGGTTTTCGCACTCTAACTTTAGTTTAAGTGAATGGATCTCCGTGAAATTTTACCATAAGGTTTAATACCACAAAAGGAAGGTTGGGATTGATTTTGGGGGTTATGGTACCAACAGTTAAGGAATTAGGGGCCAAAAAGGGGCCAAAAATAAGCATTTTTGTAACTTCCAGACATAACTTGTGTGTTAGTGTATGGATCTCTCTGACATTGTACCACAAGGTTCCATATCACAAAGGAAATGCTTGGATTGGTTTTGGGGGTAATTGCCTCAAAATTTTAGGAATTAGGGGCCAAAAAAGGGGCAAAAAACAAGCATTTTTCTAGTTTCATGATAATAACTTGTGTGTAAGTGTATGGATCTTTCTGAAATTGAACTACAAGGTTCCATATCACAAAGGGAAAGCTGGAATTGAGTTTGGGGGTAATTGCCCAAAACATTTAGGAATAAGGGGCCAAAAAGGGGCTAAAAATAGCATTTTTATAGTTTCCAGACAATTACTTGTGTTCAAGTGTATGGATCTCTCTGAAATTGTACTGCAAGGTACCATACCACAAAGGGAAGGCTGGGAATGATTTTGGGGGTAATTCCCTCAAAATTTTAGGAATAAGGGGCCAAAAAGGGGAAAAAAACAAGCATTTTTCTAGTTTCAGGACAATAACTTGTGTTCAAGTGTATGGATCTCTCTGAAATTGTACTGCAAGGTACCATACCACAAAGGGAAGGCTGGGATTGAGTTTGGGGTGATGAATCATAAGGGGTTTCAAAAAATTTGGGGGGGGGGATTTTTTTTTTTTCCTTTTTTTTCTTTTTTTTCTTTTTTTTTCTTTTAAAATTTTCCATTTTAAGTTGGTTATTTCTGATTTATATTTAAAAGCAAATAATAATGATATGGTAGGAGATACACACCAAACAGGATGTGTAAATTATTATATAATAAGTATTGTGCAATAGCAAGAAATTTTCAATTGCACAGTATTGCACAATAGCAAGAAATCTTTCATTGCACAGTATTGCGCAATAGTAAGAAATCTTCAATTGCACAGTATTGCGCAATAGCAAGAAATATCCAATAGCACAATATTGCGCAATAGCAAGAAATTGTCAATTGTACAGTATTGCGCAATAGCAAGAAATATTCAATTGCACAGTATTAATTGCTTATTTCTTGACCAATTTCAATGGGGTTTTATTCTTGAATTCTTGGGGTTCTTTAATATGCTGAATCTAACCGTGTATAAAGTTTTTGGATTTTGGGCCCCGATTTTAAATTGGTCCACATTGAGGTCCAAAGGGTCCAAAATTAAACTTTGTTTGATTTCATCAAAAATTGAATTATTGGGGTTCTTTGATATGCCGAATCTAACCGTGTATTTAGATTCTTAATTTTTGGTTCCGTTTTCGAATTGGTCTACATTAAGGTCCAAAGGGTTCAAAATTAAACTTAGTTTGATTTTAACAAAAATTGAATTCTTAGGGTTCTTTGATATGCTGAATCTAAACATGTATTTAGATTTTTGATTATGGGCCCAGTTTTCAAGTTGGTCCAAATCGGGGTCCAAAATTAAACTTTGTTTGATTCAACAAAAATTGAATATATGGGGTTCTTTGATATGCTGAATCTAACCATGTATTTAGATTTTTGATTTTTGGGCCCCGTTATCAACTTTGTCCACATTGAGGTCAAATGGGTCCTAAATTAAACTTTGTTTGATTTCATCAAAAATTGAATTCTTGGGGTTCTTTGATATGTTGAATCTAACCATGTATTTAGATTTTGGATATTGGACCATAATAGGTGAATGTCCAATTTAATAAAAAAATTTAAGTTCTTAGACCACATTCATTCTGTGTCGGTAACCTATGCTGTGTCAAATATTTAATCACAATCCAAATTCAGAGCTGTATCAAGCTTGAATGTTGTGTCCATACTTGCCCCAACTGTTCAGGGTTCGACCTCTGCGGTCGTATCAAGCTGCGCCCTGCGGAGCATTTTATTAAAGGATATATTTCCTCATTACATTACATTGTGTGGATAAAATTGTTAACATTGATAGATAAGTTGCAGATCTATATTAGTTTGTGACAAATGAAAGAAAAAATATTGGGAACTATATTACTTATATATATAAAGTTTGATTACACTGAGTGTTTTTAAATAATTTTCACCTATTGTCAGATAACAAAGCATCTGGTAAATATCTTATCACACAATTATAATTGGAGTGACAGATCTATTTGAAAATTTTCTGTTTCCTAAGTGTTGATGATGATAAGATCTGTAGGACAGTATAAATAAAATTTGAAATTTACTCTTCATTATTAGACATTTTGAAGATAATTACAGATAAGTTTTATAGATTTTTAATAGATATTGTATTAATGATAAATGACATTATGGATTTTTTTCTTCTTTTCTTTGGTAAATTGTTTGAAGAATTTTGTGGTAGGTTTGTTTTGTTATTCTGAACCTATTTTCTGAATGCTATTTACTTTTTTTGATGAAGCAACTTCAAAAACTAAGCTTAGTTTGTCTATTAATAAACATATATTCAGATTTCTGATTTTGGGCCCAGTTTTCAAGTTTGTCCAAATCGGGGTCCAAAATTATACTGTGTTTGATTTCAACATAAAATGAATATATATAGGGTTCTTTGAAATGCTGTATCTAAACCTGTATTTATTTTCATTATTAATTAGATAATACCACATTGAGGTTCAAAGGGTCCTAAATTAAGCTTTTGTTTGATTTCATCAAAAATTGAATTCTTGGGGTTCGTTGATTTGCTGATTCTAACAATGTACTTAGATTTTGGATATTGGACCATAATAGGTAAATGTCCAATTTCAAATATTCAATCACAATCCAAATTCAGAGCTGTTTTAAGCTTAAATGTTGTGTCCATACTTGCTCAACTGTTCAGGGTTCGACCTCTGCTGGAAAATCCAGTTGCTGTCACTCTGACAGCCTCTTGTTATAATTGTTGCTATCTACCTTTGCTGATTTGCATGAAAAAAAAACAAATAAAAGTGGCCATTTTGTCAATAAATTTATTGATTTATAATGTCATTTCTTACAATATCCTGAAAAATTAATCTGTGTTATACTTGTCTTTATCTTATATGTATTACTTGCAGTCTGATGATCAGCCATTGATATCCATTACACCTCCTCCGTCTCCGTCGAGACAAACAAAATCACATCGACGTTATGTCAGCGATACATCAGCTCTCCATATGGGTGGAAAAGGAAGTGCTTTCAGGTACTGTCACTCATGTGAAAATGTGTTTTAAAATACTTTATGTAATTAGAATTTCAATTTTAGTAGAAGAGGGTGGTAATGGGGGGTTGCTTGCACGGAAAAAACTTGAAATAAGACATAATTTCACGTTGAACGTGAAATAATTTCTGTCATGAACGTTGCACGAAAAATAAAGACTTTGATGTGAACCTTTTGTGACTGAATCATGATGCACGTAAAATTAAATAGACAGAACGAGGCACCTGTCTTGCACGACTGAACGTCAAATAAAAAAGTAAAAACATGTTGAACGTCAAATAAAAAACGGCGATCACGTTGCATGAAAATAACCTTTACCACCCTCGTAGAATATAATGCACTTAAAAATGATTTAATAAGTTACAGAAAATAACACATGCACATTTAAACACACTAAAATCAGGACAATTTTTTGTACACATTTTATCTTTTAATCTATAAAAATTGTAACCTAGCAACAACAAAAATGTCAGAAGGATATCTTCAAAGTTGGAATTGGAAAGTATGAAAAACAAATTTGAGTATGAAATTAGGAGAATAAATAATAACATAGTATTTGAAAGATAATAACCTCATTAAGTTTTTGTTTTTAAGTAAACTGTACTGTCTTTCTCTCGTTACATATTTATAGTTCAGTGCTTGTAATGCTACTTTCTATATATCTCTATTTCATTGCTTGTAATATTGCTGTAAATTTGTATTTCAGAGCTTATCATGCCACATCGAATCTTCTAAATGCTCCTCCTTCTCAAACCAAGTCTAAATCAGCTACTACAACTCCAACTCACTCACCTCCAGGGTACGTAACTTAAAAGCTTGTTATGCCAATTGCCTTTATGTAGCTACTACAAATATATCCATGAAGCAGTTGTGTCTAGGATTTATTTATATAAAGACACAATTTCAGTGTTGGCTACAATAGTTGTAAGGTGTATGTATGGTACATATAGATAAGGCATATTTATTTGGATTGTTTAATCAAGGAATGAAATCAACTTTTCACTTTTGTAAGGACTTAGACTATTTAATGGTCAGGTAAAGTTGGCCAAAAAGGTCTTTAAAGTTCATTTCAGAATTGCTAAGGATTTCAGAGCTTATGAGAAAAATGCAACTGAGACAAAATGTTACAAATATTGAGACATATCAAAATAGAATTAAGTTCAAATGTCAACATTATAATGTGTATGCATCTTTTGAATCCACTTATTTCAGGTCCCCTAACTTAACAAGAGCATTATCTGCAGATGTAGCTGATTGGAATCCTTTCGATGATAATTTTGGTCCGGATACAGAGGAGGAAATATTTGGAAAAGAATTTGATAAATTACGTAGAGGATCTAATAGTAGTAAGTTTTAATGGAAACCAAATGTGCTGTAAAATTTCTTACTTATGGAATACTGTAAATTCAGAAATTAATGCGAGGTTTTTATTATTGCGAAAAATGCGACAGAGTTGTAAACGCAATAATTTAAACTCGCATTTTGAAATATTCTATATGAATTAAACAGGATTTTTCTCAAAATCGTAAAAATTAAAATCGCATTTAAGTCTAAAATGACAAAATCGCAATAATAAATGCACGCAATAATTTCTGAATTTACAGTATACATATATAAAGTTATCTGTTTTTCTTTGTACCTTTGGTAAACAGCTACAAAGAAAGGGGTTTTCCTCTGTCTGTCAGTCCGTCCAATGAAATTCACAAGTATTTTTCTCAGAAACTACAAATCAGAACAACCTGAAGTTTTATATTAAGCTTCATGTGAGCATGCTTTACTGTTTGAATTCCAAACATATATATTCTTTCACATAAAAGCCATGTATAGAATTTTAGTTGTATTATTAAAAGGAGTAGGTTCAGTAAGATCCCTTTTTGGCCCCAAAATATAGCAGTTTTACAAAATAGTTAAAAAGTAAACTTTTAGCTATGTATTGGAAAGTAGAATACTTCTGTTACATAAGTATGGGCTGTTTTTGACAATAGAATGTACATGTATCGGGTACTAGCATCATTAAGTCATGCTAAATTACTGAAATCTTCACAATTTTAGCATTTGAGTTAATTTTAAGACGGTTTCCATCTTAAATGGATGTGGCCGCATTTGTGTTCATTCTTAATATTTAAATGTAAGTTGTATTTGATGATAATACATAACATATATAAAGGTTGAGGATGAACACGGATGCGGCCACTTTCATTTTTGACAAAAACCATCTGAAAAGTGACATATTATGGCATATTTGATAGATTTTTAATATTTAAGCTTAAAATTGAGCGTCTTTAATGACTAAATCAGTTCAAATCTTTCACATAAATTAATTGAATGTACTAAAGTAGACACTTAAGTGTTTAAAAAGTGTCCAAAATCTTTCATCAGATGAACCTGAAATTTGGGGCCAAAATCGGCCCTTACCGGACCTACTCCTTTGGAATTGAGCTTCTTGTGAACATGCTATACCATGTGATTGTGTTTTTGAGCTGCTGTTTCATTGACCGTGATCACAACATCTCCTTTTATTTATACTTTCTGAGTAATATTTGTGTTTAAAATTTGAATAAATCTTTATGGATTGATTGATAAATGGCTGCTTAATGTCCAGTGCAAAATATGAATGGCATCAGGACAATAAATATATATATCATATGAAAATACCTTGTTTTGTACTAGACTCAAGGCTGACCACTCTTTGCTCTTACTTCATAATGCTATATACCTGTTTAAATTCATTGGCCTGGCCTGGCCTCTGATTGAGTCTTTAACCCTACACTCAAGGTACTCTTGAGACTTTGGAGTTAGATGAAATTCCCTATGTTAAAAAGTCCACTGCATCTTGCAAAGCAAATTTCAGATTTTTCTGTAGGTTACAGAATATGTTGCTTAATACAAAATTGTTTCTTACCCCAATTACAAAAAAAACCTGTATGTATTATTAGATTTTATATATTTTTTTGTAACCAGGCACTGTTGAGCATAATATTATTGAAATTTACCTTTAACAATACCTATGGCCCTCTGAAAATTAAAAAAGCCTATATCCAGAAATAACCTGTGCACACTAAATCTCGCAGTTAATTTTAGATTGGAATACATTTTCACAAAAATTAACCTCCAACAATGCCTGGTTGTGCATTTTTGTCCCCAGCGTAATGCATTGCGGGGGACATGGAAATACCGGGCGTCCGTCCGGTCTGGTTAGCGCTCTCACAAGTACAATTCTTGCCAGATTTTTATAAAACTTATACTATAGGTTAATATCAGTAATATCTCGGACAAGTTCTTTAATGGTGGACGATCGACTTTTTTGAAAAGAGTTATGCCCCTTGGAAATATAAAACGTGTAAAGCGGGGGACATTGAAACTCTGTTCTTTTATAAATTCTTATGCTGTCTTTTTATTGGAGATTTGGCTGATCACAGTGACACCCTAGAAAATCAGACTGTTATTATACATAAATTGTGAACACCTAATCTCCTACAGTTATTTTCTGAATGAAATATAACATATTGTATATTGATTGCCATCATGTGTATTTATAGCAATATCAAATTATGATGTTGATCATTTCACTTTTACTGCAGTAAGATTGAATTTTTTAAAATGAAAAGTGAAAATTCAGGGTTTAGTTTGAGACATTTGAGCAATTCATGTCTTTTATTCAGATAAAAAAAAATGATTTAAGATTTTTATACGACCGCAAAAATTAAAAAATTTTTGGTCGTATATTGGTATGATGTCGTCGTCGTCGTCGTCGTCGTCTGGCGTCGTCAGGCGTCATCCGAAGACACATTGGTTTTCGCACTCTAACTTTAGTTTAAGTCAATGGATCTCCATGAAATTTTACCATAAGGTTCAAGACCACGAAAGGAAGGTTGGGATTGAATTTGGGGGTTATGGTACCAACAGTTAAGGAAAAAAGGGCCAAAAATAAGCATTTTTGTAACTTCCAGACAATAACTTGTGTGTAAGTGTATGGATCTCTCTGACATTGTTCCACAAGGTTCCATATCACAAAGGGAAGGCTGTAATTGATTTTGGGGGTAATTGCCTCAAAATTTTAGGAATTAGGGGCAAAAAACAAGCATTTTTCTAGTTTCATGACAATAACTTGTGTGTAAGTGTTTGGATATTTCTGAAATTGTACTACAAGGTTCCATATCACAAAGGGAAAGCTGGAATTGAGTTTGGGGGTAATTGCCCAAACGTTTAGGAATAAGGGGCCAAAAAGGGGCCAAAAATAAGCATTTTTCTAGTTTCCAGACAATAACTTGTGTTCAAGTGTATGGATCTCTCTGAAATTGTACTGCAAGGTACCATACCACAAAGGGAAGGCTGGGATTGAGTTTGGGGGTGATGAATCATAAGGGGTTCAAAAAATTTGGGGGGGGGATTTTTTTTTTTTCCTTTTTTTTCTTTTTTTTCTTTTTTTTTTCTTTTAAAATTTTCCATTTTAAGTTGGTTATTTCTGATTTATATTTAAAAGCAAATAATAATGATATGGTAGGAGATACACACCAAACAGGATGTGTAAATTATTATATAATAAGTATTGTGCAATAGCAAGAAATTTTTAATTGCACAGTATTGCACAATAGCAAGAAATCTTCAATTGCACAGTATTGCGCAATAGCAAGAAATCTTCAATTGCACAGTTTTGCGCAATAGCAAGAAATATCCAATAGCACAATATTGCGCAATAGCAAGAAATTGTCAATTGTACAGTATTGCGCAATAGCAAGAAATATTCAATTGCACAGTATTGTGCAAAAGAAGATACTTCGTATAAATTGCTTATTTCTTGATCAATTTCAATGGGGTTTTATTCTTGAATTCTTGGGGTTCTTTAATATGCTGAATCTAACCGTGTATTAAGTTTTTGGATTTTGGGCCCCATTTTTAAATTGGTCCACATTGAGGTCCAAAGGGTCCAAAATTTAACTTTGTTTGATTTCATCAAAAATTGAATTATTGGGGTTCTTTGATATGCCGAATCTAACCGTGTATTTAGATCCTTAATTTTTGGTTCCGTTTTCAAATTGGTCTACATTAAGGTCCAAAGGGTCCAAAATTAAACTTAGTTTGATTTTAACAAAAATTGAATTTTTAGGGTTCTTTGATATGCTGAATCCAGACATGTATTTAGATTTTTGATTATGGGCCCAGTTTTCAAGTTGGTCCAAATCGGGGTCCAAAATTAAACTTTGTTTGATTTCAACAAAAATTGAATATATGGGGTTCTTTGATATGCTGAATCTAACAATGTATTTAGATTTTTGATTTTTGGGCCCCATTATCAACTTTGTCCATATTGAGGTCAAAAGGGTCCAAAATTAAACTTTGTTTGATTTCATCAAAAATTGAATTCTTGGGGTTCTTTGATATGCTGAATCTAACCATGTATTTAGATTTTGGATATTGGACCATAATAGGTGAATGTCCAATTTAAAATTTTTAAGTTCTTAGACCACATTCATTCTGTGTCAGAAACCTATGCTGTGTCAAATATTTAATCACAATCCAAATTCAGAGCTGTATCAAGCTTGAATGTTGTGTCCATACTTGCCCCAACTGTTCAGGGTTCGACCTCTGCGGTCGTATCAAGCTGCGCCCTGCGGAGCATTTTATTATTAAGTGTTACCCTTGACAATCCATCCTCCTGTCCGTCGCATTTAAGTTTTCTTCATCCAAATTGTATGAAACTCATACACAATGCTCAGAACCAAAACTTGCAGACAGAGTTTGAATTTGGGTCATGAGTCACTTTCCGTTCTGGAGTTATGGCCCTTTATAACTTGGAAAATTGCAAATTTTTTCGTTTCTGCACTAGCAGTGACATGAAATGCTCTCAAAATGTATTTTCACATATTATAAGCAAGTTTGAGAGGTGGTGTTTGTGTCATCAGACACATTATTCTTTTATTTTATAAATACTTTTCTCTTTTATAATTCTTTAATATTATTGTAGGTATATCCAATGTAAAAAGTAGAGAAGATTTAGTGATGTCAGGATCTGATTCCTCAGATCCTTTTACTAATGTCCCATTTAAAAAACCTGGTAAGTTCCAGCATGGTTTCTTATCTTCTACTTATAGTAATTTGCTTAAGAATGAAAAGAAAATAAGGGCATAAAAATATTCTCTTGAATTTCTGCTATATTTGGTAATATTTTTTTTTAACTTTATTGTTACATCAGTCTTGTATTTACTTGATTCAAAATATTTCAAATAAAACTGGTAAATGCTAGTTATTTAAGATTTTTTGAAGGGAATTCAAAGTAATATTTTAGTCTTAAAATTGAACATTCGTGGGTACCAATTTTCATGGATTGAGGAAAAATTGTAGTTTTGTTGATTTTGAATTTTCATGGTTTTGGCAAAATCTGCATACAAGCCTAACAGTTATTTAAGCTACTTAGACATTATTAAACAAATTTGTGTGGATAACAATAATAGAGAAAGTATTAACATGTCCTTAAACAATGGCACAAAAATGGATATAAACTAATTAACAGGTTCTTGTCAGCTGGTCAACTTTTATTTCTCTATAACCCTACAGTATAAACTCGCAATGGCTTAAAGGATCAGTGTGAGTTAACGTCACCACATAGTTGTCCTTTGTTCTATCCATCATTCTTTAAAACACTTAGCAAAAGAAAGTTTCTTATCTTAAAGCAAGGCCTCAATTTGAACCAGCAGAGATAAGGGAATGAATCCAAAAACAAATTAACTTGTTATGGCCTTTTGTTTAGTCTGTCCTTCTACCAAGTCTATTTGGTGGTTGTCAGCTCTTATAGATTTGTGAAAATAGTGGCTAAAGAATAAATTAAACTAACCCTATCCATTACTTTGCTGGTGGCTTTCATATCTGTGTCCCAATCCTTCCCCTTCTTTGGAAAAATTTGTTTAACTTGACATAGTTTGAAGTATTTCATAAATAGATGATTTGAAATGAAATGATGTTGCATACAACTAGAGGGTTAGGTTAGCTCCAAGCTCACTTAATGCATCTTTGGTACATCTTGATTTTTTGACAAATAAATATAGGTAGTAAACAGGCATATTTAAACTGTCTACTTAAACGGTTGTCCAGCTGATAAAATCATGTAAATATTCAAGCTTTAAATGTAAAATTGGCATGATATTATTGGTTTGTTTTGGGTAAAGGTTACATGAAATGCAATCAAAACCCAATTCTCACTGGCTTTGTAGCTATATATTCAAGGCCAAATATCTACCTTTGAGAGCACACTTAACATAGTGCAATATGGGATAAACATTTCAAGTTATTTATTGTTTACTCAGATTTTGAAGTTACAAAATCATGTGTATGTGTATAATTTTAATTGGTCAAGAAAACTATTATCTATTTTAAAAAAAAGGTTCAACTACAATTATGAACAAAGGGAGATAAATCCAATTCAAAATATTGCAAAATGAAAGCAATCTTTACCCTTCAGTGCTCACAAGCACTTTGATTTTGTGTTGTGTTGTATGATTTTAATTGTAATAAAATATGAGCTGGCTTATTACAGTGTGTATGCTGGTTATTAAATGCTTGTAGTATTTTCATCTGTTATAACTATATCTGCTTAGATATATTCTTAATATATAATAAATACTTTGTCATAAGCCGTTTTCCTCTGTTTTGAATTTATCAGTACATGGTATTTCAAACTTTAAGTGATATCCATTTTTAGCAACCATGTATTATACTATTATTTTTCGTTGATGCTTGTAATCTTCATTGACTTTGTTAGCTGTAATTACTGTTTGCTACTGATTCTTTTGTCTCTGCTGATACTATGCTATTTATTACAAAACTGTGTGTTTTCTTTCTTTTGTAAATGATACATAGCATTATCTCTTAAACTACATACTTCAGAAAGCATGTGTTATGAATATAAAGTATAATATATTTAGAATGGCATGTTATTAAACAGTATTGATAAGCATGACTGATTTGTAGTTTGCATGTGTTCCGCATGACTGAATATGGAATGTTGTCCCTTGCAGGTGAGAAAGGTCCTGACAGGAAGCAGCATGGTCGTAGAAGCAATAACAGCTCAAACTCTGATTATGGAGGTAAATTTCAACGATGATTTACATTAGTTTTAATTGACCAATGTTTTATACATAACCTATTGTAGATACCAGAAACAGACGACGTTACTCATTAAATTGGAAACCAAGTAACATCTGCAAGGCGGCTATATGGGAAGAAGTTTGAATTGTTATTACCTCAGGTTTTGAACATTCCGTTGTGTTGTGTTCTCAGTGACTTGTTTTTTTTTATTAATTTCTTGTATCGTGGAGAAACCCATGGCTTTGATAAGTTTATTTGGTGCAGTCAAATTTTGTCTCGGCCTACCTAGTATTATAGTATTGAATTAATATATATGTATATATACTTTTTTTTAATTGTATCATATTTATCATGCTTTTTAATGCAGCTTACTAAATGGTTTTGTAAACAGGAATTAGAAGAAAATATTGCACTTTTAATTAAGGTTTTGCTAGATTTCTTATTTTATTTCTTAGCATGGCATAATATTAAAAACCAGTAGGACAGATGAATATTCATCTGTCATAGGCCTGTTAACTTTTAAAATGATTTCCATTATTAAAGGTAATTCAAAGTTTTTCCAAATAAACTTGGTCAAAGATTATAGATTAAAATAATGTAAAATATCAAGTCTTGCTTAGCTTTTAATCTCAATGGCTTCACAATTTGCATATAAATAAAGCTTATAGATAAAAGATGATGAAATATAAATTTTGTCTTGCATGCAACCAAAATTTCTAAATCAGGCATGGGTGTTGCATTAACAATTAAATTTGTGATTAGGAAAGATTTACATGAATCAATTAAGATAATTCAATGATATTCTTTAGTTTTGTCATGGTTTATTGACCTAGAAATTTATGCATATAGCACAGGTTGAAGTCTGTTGTAAGGTCAATTTATCAAAAGACCAATATGATAGGTCAATAATGTTAAGTGAACAGATGTATTAACATTAGTACATTTCATTTCCATGGAAATTATTAAAAAAATAACAATCTCAACTTTCCATCGTGGTCTGTCAACCTGAAATTTCTGCAGGTTACATGTTGAAGTTGTTGAAGGAAGGCCTTTGATATAACACCAGTGTTATGATTAATTAACAGATAATGATATTAAAAGCTGATATTGAAAGCATGGTTATTTAAAATACTGTTGATACTATAGATTTGAGAAATTATTGAATTGTTGTACAAAAGTTTAAAATATTGCACCAAATATGTTCACGATGAAACCATTCAGATTTTAATGTATCAGAAACTGACAGTCCATAATTTTTTTTTATGGCGTTCTGCTTTGTTAAAAGAATATTAGAGCATGTTGCTTTTTATTGTATTTTTTATAGCTTTAACCAATTGTTCTACAATGCATTTTATAGTATTAAGTGCTAGTTGATTATTTACAAATTTGTAAACCATCTTTTATATTTAAGTTTTTTTGATAACTTTTTAAAGTTGGACATGTATTATAAATTATAAAGCAGATTTTGTTATTTATATTTGGATATGTACAGTAATTTTACATAAAACTGCAGTGAAATATTTTTCATGTGAAGACTGATATATATTCTTATTGTGAATTTACCAACTGTTATATAAACAAGCTATTCCCCATAAACAAAACTAATTTTATTCAGTAGTATTTAGAACTAGGAAGTCGATAAAAGAAAATTTTGCAATAATCTGCTTTTAAGTTGCAGTAGTTTATACATATAAATAAAATTTTATATTGTAAATCAAGATGTCACTTAAGATCAAAAGGCTATATAGTATAATTTGATCTCAAAGCCATGTCATATGTGAATATACAATTTGTTATTGACCATTATCATATGTATGTTATAAAATTTGAGTAAAATTTTTTTAAGAAATTTGAATAAAAAAATTGGATGAAATTTGAGTATAAAAACTAAGTACTTGATACACCAAGCTATACTTATGTACTCATCTTGAAGAAATAAAAAAAAGCAAAATAATTAAGTGTAAATGAATGAAATTATAATTACATGAATTCAAAACTTTCCTCAATATCTCAAGCAGTAAAAACAAATCATTATATTTTATTTGTGATTTTTCAGTCTACTGTTTTGATTAAACCTAAGTTGACCAATTTATAAAATGCTTTAGACAGTATTGTTCAATCCTTAAGATTTATTTGATGAGGAGACATGTATATGTAAATGTAAAGATTTATTTATTTATCAAGATGGAAAATCAATGAATTTTTATTAATTGCACACATATATGTTTAATGCATCATTAAATGATAGCAAGAAACAAACATTTATTAATGTGACAAAATGAATAGGAATTATATTCCAGCATAAAAAAATCTTTTTTTATTTTTTCGTTTTCAATTCTATGAATAAAATATTTTATGAATAACAACAATATCCATATTAACTATTAAAATTAACTGAAATCTAAAAAATCTGATGAATTCATTTTCAATACTCGGACATTCTCTATGATTTATGAGGACTTGAGTACTTATTATAATTTTAGATAAAAACTAAGAGTAAATTCTATGACATAATTTGATGTTCACATTTGTCATACATTTATATAAAAATGGTGTGATTTGTTTACTGTCAACATAATTTGGATATAGGACCTATTCAGTACATCTTTTAATAACTATTCATTGTAGTTTTGAATGTGATAATTACTTAATTTTGGCATGTTTATGGAATGAATGTGTATGCTGGGTATTGTTTTATTTGCATGTATAGTTTATTTTTTTGAATAATTACTGTTATGATATTTGTTGAAAGAATGGTTATTTCAAGTAAGTGGTATTAATACTGTTGGTACTGTAGATTTGAAGAATATTGGAATTGATAGATAAAAGTTTAAATATTGCACCGAAAAGAAAAACAAATTTTCTCACTCAAAAAATATGAAATGAGATGTTGTCGTAACTGTAAGGATTATATTTGAAATTCAATATTAATAATCTAAATTGTGTATTGATTTTCTAATGTGCCAGTAAAATAGCTTTGATTTCTTACACAGTTAACAAAAAATGTTCATTGTCTTGAAAATAGCTTCTAGAAACTTAAACTAGTTTTCTGTGGCTTGATATTTTTGATATAGACTCACTCATTTATAATATTGCATTTAATGCAAAGTTTTATTCTAGGTATAATGGTAGGTTAGTATACAAATTTTAGCATAAAATGTCCTAAAATATAATTTGTAAATGACCTTTTGTTATGGATTTGTATTCATATTGATTGATGATTGACATTAGATTGATAATTTATTTTAATTTCAAATCCACAATAAAAAGAAAAGGCTGGTATCTGATATAAAGTAGAAATGAATTGAGTCTATACCAATTTATCATTAGATGTTGGCAGTTTTAAAATAGTTTTAAGTCAAATTTTGTGCAATATTCAATTGTTTTATACTGTATGATTTGTTGAAATTTTTGTGTTTCTTTAGAAAAGTTTTATTGTGAATATTGAGTACAATAAAATTATTAAACTCATTTTGTTGACTTTATTTTTTGAACTGCCAACATCCTATCATTTTCAAGTTGCTTAAATGGATTTACATCACTATAATTCTGTACATCTGTATATACTGTAAATTCAGAAATTTTTATGTCCATTTATTATTGAGATTTTTGAACTATGGATAAATGTGAGATTAATTATTGCAATTTCAGAAAATGCTGCATACTAATAATGCTATCAATAAATGGCAGATTTTATTTTTTGGAAACCTTTCCTGTTACAATTTTTGCAATAATAATATCATCGCAAAAATTTCTGAATTTAGAATTGTATAAAAACAAAGGAAGGTAAAATAATTATGCACACAGGGTAGGGTTTATTTGTCACGCCTTTGACGAAAGTCGCAGATGGCAAGACATAGGTATTGCTTTTCTGGCAACATTGTCGGCGTCAACAACTGTTAAGTTTCTGCTTAAGTTAGTTTGATAGGAACTACATGTGATAGATCAATGATATTTTCTACAAAGTTGCATTACTATCAGTACATATCAGTTTGATGACTATTTCGTGGCCCTGTCCCCTAGGTCACAACAGTCCAGCGACTTTCAATCAATAAGCAATTTTCAATGTTGAGTTTTCTGTTTGATAGGAATTACTTACAATAGACAACAATATTTTTTTTATAAAGTTACATAACTGTCTGTACAAATCAGTTTGTTAACCATTTAATGGCCCTGCCAACTAGTTCATGGTCCAGCGACTTTGAATTAAATTGCAATGTTGCTGTCAATCAGATTGTCTTTTTCTGAATTAAATGCTGACAGTCAAGACATATCTCTGTGTCAACAGCTTATTTAGGTTAAGAACAAGGCTGATTGGCTTGTTGTCTTTCTAATGAATCCTGTTTCAGTATACCAATTCAGATATTTTTTAAACAATGTATATATTTACACCACACAAAGAATGTCCATACAGGTATCATAGTAAAAATATTTCTTTGAAAACTTATCTGCATTACTGAACACTGTCACTATTATGAATTCCAACTGGGATAGATTTACCCCAATATATCATGTATATGAAACTATGCATAAATTTACCTTATTATGAAAGAACAGATATCTGCAATTTTATTTTATCCACTCTCCCATTACAATGACCCTTCTTGGTCTTAAACCATGACCTGGTGTATCATGATGGTATTCGCTTACGGTATATTATGTTTTGTTTCTACAAAATGTATTTAAAACTTTATTGTTGGTTTTTTGGAATATTCGTCAATGAGACAACAACAACACAATGACACAAATTCAAAACCACCAAAAGACATCTAAATGTCAACACACCGTCTTAAATGATAGATTGTTGTCTGAACAATATGTCAAGCTCTTAATCTGAGTCTAGAAATGTTGTCAATAAATACAACAGAGACTATAAAGATCTGCAATCGACACTAAATTCTACATAATAACAAAAAAAACACATCAAGATACTACAGATGACAGGTACATGACCAAGAACAGGTACATGAACATGTGGCAGGTTTAAACTAGTTTTGTCTTGCCTAGACAAAAGTAAAAAAAGCGAGACTTGGGCATGCTGTTTTTCTGAGGCAGGGTCAACAATGTTTTAGTTTGTGATAAGTTCAGTTTAAGGGGAACAAGTAGTGGTATGTCAAAGATATGTGGTATGCAGTTGTATAAGTATTGCACGTCTCATTTCCATGGAGATTAATTTGCCCAGCCTCTCAGTCATCATAGACTGAGTCATGGTATATTGACTTTGAAACCTTTGCTTAGTTTACATGTATGAGTTTGTGATTAGGTCATTTAAAGGGGAACCAGTTTACCCGTCTATGCCAATTAAATAATAAACAGAAATTTCCTGTCGGCAATGACCTGTTATTAAGCCAAAATTGACCCAAACCCTCTTTTGGAAGTGTAGCTGCAAAATTTTTTGTATAACACTGCAATGCAACCAGTCTGACTGCTGTTGTTACAAATAAATCATAATTGTAAAATCACTGATATAGATATTTTTCTGAGCAGTTGCATGATTTATGGGAACACAATTTTTGTGAAGTAATCACATGTATTTTCCTTCAGAGTTATGTTCAATGACTCGGGTATTACAACCAGAATGTACATCTATAAGTAGAATTTAAAAGTCTAATGACATAATTGTTTCGGTGACCTTTTAATCAAATTGGCATAAATGTGCAATAGATTGTTCCTTTACTGATAACACTCAATTTACATTCTTGACACCAAAGTTAGCCATCACCATAAATATTGTTTTACATATGATAAAATCAATTAAAAAAAAATAGTAGGGTAATTTGAACTTAGTATTACTGATTGTGGTATTTCAAAAATTGAAATTTATAATATTTTCAATCAATAATTTATTTTGAGTCTGAAATAAAGATTATCATATCTTATCTAAAAAATTTATCGAGTGATCCTGTACATCTACCCACCTAGTCATTGCTACTATAAATAGAACATATTGTTAAGTATACCAATAGGATATGTTTTCTCTCCGAAATTGTAAAAAAGGGGTTTGGTTGTGGTCAATTTGAGGATTTGTTAAAAAGTCATTATTTGAACAGGTACAGTGTTTTATCTGAATCTTTCAGATAAGACTGTTCAATATAATATCAGTTATATGGTTTAAAAGAGACCAATTGTGTGGAGTATGGTACAGATCTGTGCACTGACACAAAAACCTTAAAATATTATCAGCATTTCAATTTCCTATATTGTTTAAGCTTGTCCAAATTGCTTGTACAGTGATTCTGAGGGTCACAGATTTCTCCTAAACACAGGTACACTGGGAAAGTTTTCTGGGAAAGTAGGTAATGTGCTAAGGACCTTCTGAAGTCATTCTTATATGTTCCTCATTTGAAGCATCTTTTAATTTTTAAACAATATATGTCAAGGTAAAAACCATCCATTGTGATGGATCAGAGAACAGATCTGAATATTGGGAAAGGACAGTCAAATTTTCTTTGAATTTTTACATTAATTTATACATACTACATGATTTATTCAAGTACATTTGTATGCTCTTGTGTTGAAGAGCCAGAGTTACAGGGAAGATGATCTACAACTTAAAGAAATTATATTTTTTAGCAAAATATTCAAATGACAATGGATATATATTATTAAAAAAATAATGTATTCACAGTAAACAAAAATATTTCTACCACTTTGATCTCTTATGAAGATTATTATGATACATGTGCACGCATACAATTAAATCTTTTTCTGTTTGAATATTTCTTCAGTCTCTAACACAGTTTCTGTTTGCTCTATGCATTTTGGATGACTCATGTTTGCTGAATTGGAAATCTTTGTAAAATTAAGAAAAAACCAACAATAAAACTTATAATGAAAGCTATACTCATAAACTTACGTTTTAAATTTGAGTTGTTAGATAGTCGTATGACATCAGTTGCAATAAAATACTAATTGAATAAAATCTGATTTAAATCTTGTAAAAGATTCACTCCTGTTTTGTCATACAACAGGTGTTGTTATTACACTGTCATTTTGTTGTAACATCAAAATAAACTTAGAACACATTGAAGAAGATGTCATGCCATTTCTACATAACTTGCATCAAAAGTCAATGTAATCAAACGAATAACTTCTCCAATTTTTTCAAGAATTCATACAATAAAAATTACTTGTGACCAAACAACACTGATAATTCACTTATGCGTTATTCCCTATTGTGAATTGATGTGTTTTTCGGTCACTCATTCAATATTGACATTCAAATTTGAAGACTATTTATTCGTTAGTTATTACTATCTTCTGGATAAAAATCTGCAATGAAATCATTGTTGAATTTATTTTGCCTGATGAATTCCATGACATAAAAATACTAAAAACACAAAAAATGAAAATATCCTATGGACACTTGTTCCTCAGACATCTCTCATTTGTATTTTAATTATATTCTTTATATATCAACAAGATAAAAATGAATTATTTCATTTTTGCAGATGAAGATGATGATGATGCTCAAGACAATATGAAGAAACAAGACAATGTAAAGAAACAAGAAAAAGTCATTCAAGAATCAGAGTCACAAAACTTCTTTGGTGCATCTTCATTGGTTAAAGCAGCTTTAAGCAGGTCATCAAAATATCAGCAGCTGGTAGATACAGATGAGGAGAAAGACAAGAAACCTCAAGTTGCTGAATCTCGTGTTAAATTAGATTCTAGTTCGTCTTATGCAGAGGATGATCATCCAGGTGGACAAGGTGAAGGTAAAACTGCAGACTTTCGCTATCAAGAACTTGATGATGAATATGGTAGCAGACCTGTAACTATAAAATCTAACCAGGAAACAGTAAACCGTAAACCGGCAAGTAGGAAAGAGTCTCAAGAGTCAACTGTAAATGCTACATCATCTGACCCAATAGTAGGACATGAATATGGAGTTCGACCTTTACTTGATGATGATGAACTAGAAGACGATGAACATGGAGGTAATCACCAAGACAACCATGATATACGAGACAATAGTACCCCTAGTAGTAGTACAGTGTCACCACTCGCAGGAGGGTTAAGTCCTGCCCTTTCACCTACAGTTGATCCATTTGTTTCTGCACCATTCCGACGTAAACCATCCAGGAAAAAACGACCAAATAGTAATGTTCAAAATAGACCTCACAAACCTGCTCCTGAATCAACAGATATCTTTTCCAAAGCTCCTTTTAAACCAACATTTTTACCCAAAACACAACACTCTATTGGAAGTCCTCTATTAGATTCTAATAATGCTAGTCCCGATATTGAAGATCCATTTGATAAGGCACCGTTTAGCCCGAAAACTGTATCTGGAACAAATGCAAAACATTTGGTGTCTTCAGTAATGACAACCACATCTCCAATAGAACAAACATTCATTTACAGCAATCCTGTCACACAGGCATCACCAGAACAGAATTTTATGTATGTCAAGGAACCCCCAGTGAAAACTGATGCCAACTTTGTTCCATTTACTTCATCAGTGCCATTGTCAAGTACTTTTACAAAATCTGACATCTTTGGTTCTGTACCGTTTCAAACAATGATGAGCAAACCTTCCACAGCAAAGGATGATAATAAAAAACTGTCCAAATCTGGTAATTATACCAGTACACCTGCCAAACCTATTAAATCCAAATCTCAAAATTATCAACCTCTTTCTGATAATGAATGTGATTCAGATAATCAAATAGAAACTGCCTATCTACGTAAATGTCAAGATCAGCAAGCTTCATTGATTGTAAATAGGGACAGTGATAAAGAGGATGAAGATTATGACAATGAAGATTGTGAATTAAATTCCAGTACAAGTTCAAAACATTCCAGGTCAAAGGTTAAAGGTCGTTCAAGTCCAAGGGAAACAGTTGGATTTTCCAACATGAGTTTTAATGATGACGATGATGAAGGTCAATCCCAGCATTCCATTGAGCAATCTTCAAACTCTCTGCAAGTTTCCAGCATAAGACATCCTGCATTTACCAAAGAACCAAAGTATACAGTTGCTATAGCATCCTCAGAAGCTCTGAAAGTAAATAGCTCTGGTAGTTATGATACATTTACATGGCCAAGGAAACATAAAAAATCCATGGCAACTAATGAACCTTTCAGTTCAAAAAAGAAAATTGATATATTATCAAAATGATGCTGTTGTGATGTTAGTTAAGAGTGAATGTTATTAGAAAATTTAGTAATAAAACATCATTACCTGCATAGGTAATTTAAGTTATAGTTAATTATAGAAATGCTTTTCAAAATTTGGAGCTTGATCATGGGCAATTTTTTTAATATTTAGGTAAAATCTAACATAGTTTTTATATGAAGAGTTAAACCTAAATGATTTGTGAAGAATCTTGGTAGATATTAGTTTGGCTATTCTGAATGGCATTATAAATAAAAATTTATTATATCTGAATTTTTAGTCTGGCGGATATCCTGTTATAAAGAAAATAGTATTTGGATTTAACCAAAATTTCTTCAAAAACTCAAGCAATGTTTATTTTAAAAGCATGCATAAATTAAAATTTGGGTTTTGGGCAACATCTTGGATAAGTTTTATTATTCTATTCATTAACCTTCATGAGAATTTTTTGTTTAAATGAAGATTGTTTTTGAAGAATTCACCATCATTTAGTTGCATTTTCAAATAAAAAAATTTATTTCTCTTTGCCTATATCCTCATAATAATCATCACAATATGCAGTGGCGGATCCAGACATTTTCATAAGAGGGGGCCCACTGAATGCCTAAGAGGGTGCCCACTCCAGTCATGCTTCAGTGATTCCCTATATAATCAACCAAATTTTTCCCACAAAAGGGGGGGCCCGGGCCCCCCTAAATCCGCCTCTGATATGCTCCTTTCATTACACCCGATTCTTAATGACGGTATGAACATTGATCTCTTTCCTTATACATCATTTGAGTAATATATTATCCAGATAAATCAGTATCATACATATTTAGTTGTATAGTTTATCTGTGGAAAGTTTTAAAACATTTTACTAGAAGTGTTAACTTTAAATTTTCTGAGATGGTGCAAGTTTTTGGAAATGACCCAGATTTGAATTAGAAGTTGTTTATTTTTTATTTGTAGAAACAGAGTAAAATGCATTTTATCTTTTATTTATTTTTTTGGCATCTGTTTGTGCTTTGCAGTCAACAGCATTATGATATTACTTGAAATTTATTTTTGTGGCATTCAATTTTTCACATTTTTTATAGTCACAGTATGTGTGCAGATGTGTTTTTTTTAGGGTTTTTATAATAATATGATGATACTATTATTATTTATACAGTTTTCTAAGGGTACATATTGTTAAAATATTTTAGGGTTAAACAGTTTTAATCTCACCTGTCCTAAAGGGCTATCTGAGCTATTGCCATCACTCTTGGTGTGTCTGTCATCAGTTAGCTGCCTGTAATTTTTTTTTTTATCTTTCACTCTGCTACCAGTGAATTGATAGAAACCAAAGTTTTGTCTACTTCATCTATAGGTTGTCTACTTTGAAGTTTGTGATTTTCGTCCTCGTTGAACAAACAACATGGCCACTGTGGCTAAAAAAAGAACATAGGGTCAACCGTCAACCTGGTTTTTGACTAATATCTACAAAAGAATAGCAATAGGAGAAAAACTAACAGGGTAAAAATGGTCAGCACAACAACCTATGTCAACCTGTGCTGGAGTTATTGCCCCTGGAATGTTGATGTTTAACTCTATTGGCAGTTCTTTGTTATTGTTTGAAAAAGTTAAGTAGGTAGGTTAAAACTGTAAATTGCAGAAAAGATCAGCATGGCAAGTTCCATCTTCCTGAAAAATTTCAAAAAGATCTGAAGACCCTGTATGTAGTTATTAAAATGCAAGTTTGACCAATTGTCAGTTTTTGATTATTTTCTGTAAAATATTAGGAGCTAGGTTTAAGTTGGAAAATTGAAAATATAATCAGCACAACAAGATTTCTTCCCTGAAAGTCCGGGGAAAATACAACAAACAGTGAAACCCATTTTTATACGACCGCAAAAATTAAAAATTTTTTGGTCGTATATTGGTATGACGTTGGCGTCGTCGTCGTCGTCTGGCGTCGTCCGGCGTTGTCCGAAGACACATTGGTTTTCGCACTCTAACTTTAGTTTAAGTGAATGGATCTCCATGAAATTTTACCATAAGGTTCAATACCACGAAAGGAAGGTTGGGATTGATTTTGGGGGTTATGGTACCAACAGTTAAGGAATTAGGGGCCAAAAAGGGGCCAAAAATAAGCATTTTTGTAACTTCCAGACAATAACTTGTGTGTAAGTGTATGGATCTCTCTGACATTGTACCACAAGGTTCCATATCACAAAGGGAAGGCTGTAATTGATTTTGGGGGTAATTGCCTCAACATTTTAGGAATAAGGGGCCAAAAAAGGGGCAAAAAACAAGTATTTTTCTAGTTTCATGACAATAACTTGTGTGTAAGTGTTTGGATATTTCTGAAATTGTACTACAAGGTTCCATATCACAAAGGGAAAGCTGGAATTGAGTTTGGGGGTAATTGCCCGAAACGTTTAGGAATTGGGGGCCAAAAAGGGGCCAAAAATAAGCATTTTTCTAGTTTCCAGACAATAACTTGTGTTCAAGTGTATGGATCTCTCTGAAATTGTACTGCAAGGTACCATACCACACAGGGAAGGCTGGGATTGAGTTTGGGGGTGATGAATCATAAGGGGGTTCAAAAAATTTGGGGGGGGGGATTTTTTTTCTTTTCTTTTTTTCCTTTTTTTTTTCTTTTAAAATTTTCCATTTTAAGTTGGTTATTTCTGATTTATATTTAAAAGCAAATAACAATGATATGGTAGGAGATACACACCAAACAGGATGTGTAAATTATTATATAATAAGTATTGTGCAATAGCAAGAAATTTTCAATTGCACAGTATTGCACAATAGCAAGAAATCTTCAATTGCACAGTATTGCGCAATAGCAAGAAATCTTCAATTGCACAGTATTGCGCAATAGCAAGAAATATCCAATAGCACAATATTGCGCAATAGCAAGAAATTGTCAATTGTACAGTATTGCGCAATAGCAAGAAATATTTAATAGCACAGGATTGTGCAAAAGAAGATACTTCATATAAATTGCTTATTTCTTGATCAATTTCAATGGGGTTTTATTCTTGAATTCTTGGGGTTCTTTAATATGCTGAATCGAACTGTGTATTAAGTTTTTGGATTTTTGGACCCGTTTTTTAATTGGTCCACATTGAGGTCCAAAGGGTCCAAAATTTAACTTTGTTTGATTTCATCAAAAATTGAATTATTGGGGTTCTTTGATATGCCGAATCTAACCGTGTATTTAGATTCTTAATTTTTGGTTCCGTTTTCAAATTGGTCTACACTTAGGTCCAAAGGGTCCAAAATTAAACTTAGTTTGATTTTAACAAAAATTGAATTTTTAGGGTTCTTTGATATGCTGAATCTAAACATGTATTTAGATTTTTGATTATGGGCCCAGTTTTCAAGTTGGTCCAAATCGGGGTCCAAAATTAAACTTTGTTTGATTTCAACAAAAATTGAATATATGGGGTTCTTTGATATGCTGAATCTAACCATGTATTTAGATTTTTGATTTTTGGGCCCTGTTATCAACTTTGTCCACATTGAGGTCAAAAGGGTCCAAAATTAAACTTTGTTTGATTTCATCAAAAATTGAATTCTTGGGGTTCTTTGATATGCTGAATCTAACCATGTATTTAGATTTTGGATATTGGACCATAAAAGGTGAATGTCCAATTTAAAATTTTTAAGTTCTAAGACCACATTCATTCTGTGTCAGAAACCTATGCTGTGTCAAATATTTAATCACAATCCAAATTCAGAGCTGTATCAAGCTTGAATGTTGTGTCCATACTTGCCCCAACTGTTCAGGGTTCGACCTCTGCGGTCGTATCAAGCTGCGCCTTGCGGAGCATTTTATTAAGTTATTGCATCTCAAATATATATTATGACCAGTTTTTGCAGTTTTTTGCAGCTATCTTGAATATTATAGGAGCAAGGTTTAAAATGTAAGTGATAAAATTCAAAGTATACTTCTTTTGGACTTATTGCGCCTGAAATATCAATTTTTCCAATTTTCATATTTTTGCTGTTATATTCAAAACTATTGGAGCTTGGTTGAAAGTGTAAACTGAAAAAAAAAAGATTACCATGACAAGATCTATCTACTCTAAAAGCTTCTTGTTTAGGGTTCTCATTGTTAATATGATTAGTAAATACAACTTTTCAAGAGTACTCATATTTTCAGTTTTTGTCTTGCCTTGACGGAGTCAAAAAGCAAGACATAGGTATGCTGTTTCCGGCGGTGGCGTCAACAGTGTATCAGTTTGTGATTAGGTCTAGTTTATGGTTAGGTCAATGATATTTGGTATGCAGTTGTATTAGTATTGACACATCTCATTTCCATGGAGGTTAGTTGGCCCTGTCCCCTCAGTCATGGTCTATTGACTTTGATACTTTTGCTTAGTTTACATGTATTAGTTTGTGATTAGGTCAGTTTATGGGGAACCACTAATGGTAGGTCAATGATATTTGGTATGCAGTTGTATAAGCATTGGCATATCTCATTTCCATGGAGATTATTTGGCTCTGCCCCCTTAGTCATGGTCTATTGACTGAAAATTTTGCCTAGTTTACATATATTAGTTTGTGATTAGGTCAGTTCAAGAGGAACCATAAGTGGTAGGCCAATGTTTATTGGTATTCAGTTGTATAAGCAGTAGCACATCTCATTTCCATGGGCCCTCAGTCATGGTCTATTGACTTTGAAACTTTTGCTTAGTTTACATGTATTAGTTTGTGATTAGATAAGTTTAAGATGAACTGCTAATGTAAAGTCAATGATATTTGGTATGCAAGTATCATTTCCATGGAGATTATATAGCCCAACCCCTTCATCATGGTTCATTGACTTTGAAACTTTTACATAGTTTACAAGTTAATGTTTGTGTTTAGGTTTGTATAAAGGGAACGACTTATAATAAGTCAATGGCACATCTCATTTCCATGGATATTGTTTAGCTATGTACATTCAGTCATAGTTCATCGACTTTGAAAATTTGCATAACTTACATGTTAAAGTATTGCTTTTTTAATTTCAACATTTGCATTATCAAAATAACAAAAAGGCGAGACATATCTCTGTGATAATAGTTTATTATACAGTAAATGGTATTCCATTACTGTGGTTAAGTAACAGTTGACCTTATTTCTATTTGGAAATCTTCTAGGCTTGACCTCCAGATTTTGCTACACTTAAACTTGTGAATTCATACAAAAATCACTTTAAACTTTTTGGCTGCAGACATTTTGTCTTGTGACAATAAAATTTTATGAGCATGTCTGTGATGTTTAGTAATGACAGACAAATAATGAGTGATAAGGTGTATTTCTACTGTTTAATCCAGTATAAAAAAAAAACAGAGTAATGAAAATCTAGTAAAAAAAATCATAAAACATAAATCTTTTGTTGAATAACATTGCTAGTTTGATTTGATAAATACAGTTATCAGAAGTATTCAGCATTGAAGGGGCTAAATTTCATATCTAATCTTTGTTTTATATTTGAAAAAAGTTACTTATATGTTAAATTTTAAACCTACTGATTCAATTATCAACAGATAATACCCTAGACATGTGATTTGACATGAATTATTCCAATCCTTTTATTTTGTTTAATGACATAAAACAGGTTTTTATAACAGGATGTTAAACAGTGTAACAATCCATCTGTTGATGTATAATCATCATGATTTCCATTTATCTATTTCTTACTTTACTATTAATTAAGAAATAACTGCATACACTGATTTTATGTTGATGTAAATCTTTTGATTTATAACATACTCTTCTTAAATTGTAAGTTGTTAAATTTGAAAATTATTAAATAAGGTTCCAACTCCATCAGCCAAATGATACCTTTAAGTGGATTTGGCTATTCATTTTAGGTCTTTGTTTTGTCATAAAGCTCCTTGAGTATTCAAGTATTTATACAAAATTGGCTTTCCAAATTTTTGGTATGAGCAATCATGATGAAGATAAATTCAGAAAAGCGCTTTGGACACACTTAAAGTGTTATTTGCATTTTTCTTGTGTCAGAAAGTAAATCGTCAATATTCTACTATCAGGTCTGGTAATTATAAGTAGTTCTTTCCATCGACTCAAAAACAAAATCTTAACAAGATCTATAGTCGATGACTTATTATTATTATATCCCTCTATGGCATTCACCTTGTCTGTCTGTCCATTCTTTCGTCCAACAAAAAACTGTCACACATTTCTCTAGTACCACATTACAGAAAGGGTTCATATTTGGTCAGCAGCTTGACAGTGATAAGTTGTAACGTGAGCACTTTTAAGATCTGTCAGACACCTAGTTCCTGTATGCTGATATTTTGAATTGTATTTCTTCTCTCATCCCTCACCATCTCAGCTGTTCAGACTGAGGACTTCTGGTATGAGATAATGTGTTCAATACTCATCTCCTTTTATTCATGTCAGTAATTGTTTTTTTATACCCATGTTCAATAGACTTTGGGGTATGTAATGATGCACATTTATTTTTGATATTGACCATAGATATAAGGTGAGCGATCCCGTGTCAATGCTGATGGCCTTATGTAAAAAATGTCATTTTCCATCTTTAGTTTACACTGTTAAAAAGTCAAAATATCAGTAATTTTTCATTTGAAATTACACAAGATGAACTGAATATGTTTATTCTAGTTCTGTTGCAAGAATGTTGTTATAATACATAACTGAAGTACAGACATGGAATGCATGTGTGCACCGTGTCCAATTTATAATTTAATGCACACCTTGCAGGTACATTCAGTTTGGCTTTTAACAGAAATTTTGGTTTTCAAAAACCTCTATCTCACCAAATTTACTTGAAGAAATTTTATACCCCAACCACTTGCACATTAAAGTATTTAGAAGTGATGGAGGATTGAAATATATTTTATAATTATTCAAGATATAACATGTATGATCTAACAAGTAGGAATCTTGTTTTTGTTGTAATTTATAAACAATTGTTTTGTACAGTTTGTTATTTGGCTAGATAGTCTGTTGTTTATCATCATAAACATTTCAACATTTTATAAAACTATTTTTTATTCTATGTTATTGTACACAAATATTGCTAAAAGGAAGTATGTGGGGAAGGTAAATGGAACAGCAAAACAACACCAAAAAAAAATAGGACCCCTATAGGTCAACACCGCAGCATAGAAAAAAGACACCTCGATGTCAAAACAACACCATAGAAAAAAGACACCTCGATGTCAAAGCAAAAAAAACAACACCATAGAAAAAGACACCTCGATGTCAAAGCAACAAAAACAACACCATAGAAAAAAGACACCTCGATGTCAAAACAACAAAAACAACTCCATTGAAAAAAGACACCTCGATGTCAAAACAACACCAGAGAAAAAAGACACCTCAATGTCAAAACAACACCATAGAAAAAAGACACCTCGATGTCAAAGCAACAAAAACAACACCATAGAAAAAAGACAACTCGATGTCAAAACAACACCAGAGAAAAAAGACACCTCAATGTCAAAACAACACCATAGAAAAAAGACACCTCAATGTCAAAACAACAAAAACAACACCATAGAAAAAAGACACCTCGATGTCAAAACAACACCATAAAAAATAGGACGCCTATAGGTCAACACCGCAGCATAGAAAAAAGACACCTCGATGTCAAAACAACATTAAAAATAGGACGCCTATAAGTCAAAACACAGTTATTTGACAATAAAGTGTCAGTACCAGTCTTATCTGATTATTAAGTGTCAGTTCCATATATAATGTTCTTAATTGCCCAGAGTCTTTTGATAATCAAGTGTCATTATGATATGTAATACTCTAAATTGCCCAGTCTTGTTAATAGAGTGCCAGTACCATATGTCATGCTCTAAATTTCTCACAGACTTTTGATAATCAAGTGTCAGTACCATATGTCATGCTCTAAATTTCTCACAGACTTCTGATAATCAAGTGTCAGTACCATATGTCATGCTCTAAATTTCCCAGTCTTTGACAAGTTACAAGAAATTCACTTTAATTACACACTATATTATCGCCCCAATTTTTTTTTTAAATAGATAACAGACAGTGATTGCCAACTTGGAAGAGGCACATACAATTGTAGCAGAGTTCCATTATTTTAGTGAGTAATCACTGTCTTTCCCCCATTAGTTTTTAAATAGTAATAAAAAAAATAAGTATATAGAAAAACCACAATAAAAATTGGTAAACAAAATAAATAATATAAGTACAAAAGAGGAAAACTGCATAGGTTCAAGCAAAACAGTTCTAGATAATACACATGTATACATTGCAAACATGAAAACTCAAAAACTAATCTTGTGCAAAGCCCACAGGTAAGGAGTAGGTATGATAAGAACACTTTTGTTGGCCTCTTGAATTTAAAAATCAAAAAGTAATTTAAATGTATCCAATAACTGCCATCATATATTCAATAGATGGATAAATTAGTGTTATTGTCCAGTGGCAAATATAACATGCATATTAGGATGAGAACGTTTGAATGTTTAATAACACCACATTCTGTATGTGCCTGTCCCAAGTCAGAAGCCTGTTATTCAGTCGTAGTTGGTTGCTGTCTACAAGATTTGTTTTATTTTATAGTTTTTAGCTCAAGTTGGTTGGTTTTCTAATTTTTTTTAGTCCCCTACCGACAAAGTCGAAGGGGACTTAAGGTTTGCACTCCGTCCGTCTGTATGTCCAGCAAATCAGTTTTCCAGACTTTTTTTCTTCGTGCTTCAAGATGTTGATTTGATATTTGGTTTATTTTTTTATCATGACAAGTTACAGGTCAAGTTCAATTTTCACGATTTTAGCTTTTCTCTTTGTTCAGTTAAAGCCCTTTCCCTAGAATTAAATTTTTTATGAAATACTTATTAATTAGTAGATTTCTGTTCAAAGGGAAATAACTTATTTTTATACGACCGCAAAAAATTTTTGTGGTCGTATATTGGTATGACGTGGGCGTCGTCATAGTTGTCCGAAGACACATTGGTTTTCGCACAATAACTTTAGTTTAAGTTAATGGATCTCTATGAAATTTTACCATAAGGTTCAATACCACAAAAGGAAGGTTGGGATTTATTTTGGGGGTTATGGTACTAACAGTTTAGGAGTTAGGGGCCAAAAATAAGCATTTTTTTAACTTCCAGACAATAACTTGTGTGTTAGTGTATGGATCTCTCTGACATTGTACCACAAGGTTCCATATCACAAAGGGAATGCTGGGATTGATATTGGGGGTAATTGCCTCAAAATTTTAGGAATTAGGGGCCAAAAAAGTGGCAAAAAACAAGCATTTTTCTAGTTTCAGGACAATAACTTGTGTGTAAGCGTATAGATCTTTCTGAAATTGTACTACAAGGTTCCATATCACAAAGGGAAAGCTGGAATTGAGTTTGGGGGTAATTGCCCAAAACATTTAGGAATTAGGGGCCAAAAAGTGGCAAAAAATAAGCATTTTTCTAGTTTCCAGACAATAACTTGTGTTCAAGTGTATGGATCTCTCTGAAATTGTACTGCAAGATACCATACCTCAAAGGGAAGGCTGGGATTGATTTTGGGGGTAATTTCCTAAAAATTTTAGGAATTAGGGGCCAAAAAGGGGCAAAAAAAAAAAGCATTTTTACAGTTTCCAGGCAATAACTTGTGTTCAAGTGTATGGATCTCTCTGAAATTGTACTGCAATGTACCATATCATAAAGGGAGGGCTGGGATTGAGTTTGGGGTGATGAATCATAAGGGGGTTCAAAAAATGGGGGGGGGGGGGATTTTTTTTTCATTTTTTTTTTTCTTTAAAATTTTCCATTTTAATTTGGTTGATTTTGATTTATATATAAAAGCAAATAATAATGATATGGTTTGATTTCATCAAAAATTGAAATATTGGGGTTCTTTGATATTCTGAATCTAACAATGTATTTAGATTCTTTATTTTTGGCCCAGTTTTCAAATTGGTCTACATTAAGGTCCAAAGGGTCCAAAATTAAACTTAGTTTGATTTTAACAAAACTTGAATTCTTGGGGTTCTTTGATATGCTGAATCTAACCGTGTATGTATTTAGATTTTGGATATTGGACCATAATAGGTAAATAAAAAATTTGTAAGTTCTTAGACCACATTCATTGTGTCAGAAATCTATGCTGTGTCAAATATTTAATCACAATCCAAATTCAGAGCTGTATCAAGCTTGAATGTTGTGTCCATACTTGCCCCAACTGTTCAGGGTTCGACCTCTGCGGTCGTATCAAGCTGCGCCCAGCGGAGCATTTTATTTAAAAGACAAAATGACATTTTGGATTTTTTTCCTTTTTTTTTTGGTAAATTGTTTGAAGAATTTAGTCGTAGGTTTGTTGGTCATTCTTGAATATATTGATTTGATAATTAGTATATAGTTTTATCATGACAAGTTACAGATCTGACAAGTTGTAATTTTGTTCCGGTCTGATGATTTTGTGCAGAGTTATGGTCTTTGGACATAGAAAATTCACTTAAATAATCAGTTTTCAACAGTTTTTTTCGTCATGCTTGAGGATTTTGACTTGATATTTTCAAGGAGGTTATATTCCTCCTTGATATTTTTATGTAGTTTACACCATGATAAGTTATAGATCAAGTTAGAATTTCGTTCCATTACAATGAATTTTTAACCGGTAGGGGACTATGTATTGCCGTGCAATACTCACAGAATGCTTTTTATTTCACATTTTGTTGTGCTGGGTATTTTATAGAATACTATAGGGTATGAGTTTTGCTTATTGTTGAAGGTTGTACAAAACATAGTTGTTTACATCCTCCTTCATTGGTCCCTGAAGGTGCCTTGGTGGCAGTGTGGTCTAATTAGTTTAACTAACTATTATATCACTAGCCTGTCAACACTGAGGTTGTGAGTTCTAATTTTTATTGGCAAGGATTTCCAATTTTCCTGCCGAAGGTCGGTGGTTATCTCCGGGCACTCCAGCTTCTCCACCAATAAAAACTGACCGCGAATAGCCAATAGTGCTGAAAGTGGCTTAAAACACCAATCAATCAATCTTTGGTCACCGGTGGATAGTTGTCTCATTGGCAATCGTTCCACATCTAATGACTATGATGTAAATATGAAACCTGCTTTGTAATTAGACTAAAAGGTTGACCTGAAATTTTAAACAAGCTAGTTCACAATGTTACAGTCCATAGGAAGACATGTCACCTCACCCGAACATTATCCTTACTTCTGATTGCTGCATGCTTAGCATAGTACCAGCTAAAATAATTTTCTAGTCTTTGGTTTGACCTAGCCGAGGATCGAACCCACAACGTCATGCATTCGATTCTTGCACGTTACTACAAGACTATAGCGCTTGTTACTTTCACAAAACATTAGTCTCCAGATATCGGTATTTAAGTTTTTGAATTTTATCTTGCATATTTTCTCTACGAGTTTCACTACAATTGTATTTCAATTAAAAATTGCAAAAACTCTTTGAATAGCCCAATTTTAAGCTATTGTCATTAATATTTAGATATGATCAACAGCTTTACCCAAAAAATTCTTCAACAAAGATGTTCATGTAGTAAAATATTGTTTCGGGGTAAAGGAAATTTCTGCGTTTATGTAGTCCTTGTACCTTGAAATTTTTTAGCATACCTTTAAGAATTTTAAATTATCGGTGATTTAAGGCAATTTAATTTTCCCCTTTTTTTCATTACTATGATTCGCAACGAAAATAATTTGAAATATATTCCCTGTTGTTAAATAGAAAAAGTTTTGCTTTGCCAAATGACTTGTATGAGTGATCAAAAGACAACAGCGTGGCAAAAGGATTCATTTGACATAAATAAAATTTAAATTAATAAATGTATGTTGAAAGCCGTCTTTAAGATAACGGTTTTACCTCAATAATCACATAAACTCAAGATAATCAATGATCCATGTAAATAAGTTCAGGGTCAGATGAAATCTGCAAGACAGACATGTACACCAAACAATCGTTTAATACATCAAATAAAGTTGACGTACTGCTTATAATATCTGGGAAGATGGACATAACCATGAAAACTGAACATTGACCAAAGAACCATGAAAATACGGACAAGGTCAGTTTAACCCTCCAAGACAGAAGTGTACACATTACAATCATTCCATACACCAAGTATAGTTGACATATTGCTAATAATATCTGCGAAAGAGACAAAACATTGAACGATGAACCATGAAAATAAGACCAAGGTCAGATGAAACCTACGGGACGGGCATGTACAACTTACAATCATTGTATTCACCAAATATAGTTTACCTATTGCTTATAGTATCTGAGATACCAAACTTTCAAAACTTTACATTGACCAATGAACTATGACAATGGGGTCAAAGTAAGATGAAACTTTCCAGACAAACATGTATATATTCAAAGATCAATGTAATGGCCTTTCAAGGATCCCATATACTAAATATAATTATCATTTTACTCATAATAAGGGAGAAATTCACGTGACAAAAAAAATAGTTTCTAAGCAGTCGCTGAACCATGAAAATGAGGTCATGGACAATGGACATATGACAGACTGAAACTTCGTAACATAGGGCACATGTATACAAGGTATGAGGCATCCGCGTCGTCTAACGACTGAGATATAAAGCTTTATGCAAACACTGTCGCTCCTGCTGCCAGATAAGCACCCATATGTCTCGCATTCTGCGACTAAAGTTGCAGTCAAAATCACAGTTGAGACAAAAATAGTATGACTGTCCAAATAACTAAATTCATACCGTCTCAATGTAAATATGAAAATTGCAGGATAGATCTGTGATAATACTTAATGTTATAAATACACTCACTTTTTCAAAGTTATAGTCCCTGGACACAATACTGATAATTATTTACATGTATACATATATATATCTATCTAGTTACGAGACATATAATCATATTTTATCTCAAGGATGAAGCAAATATGACTATCAACGAGAATATAATGACAACCAACTATATATATAGCAAAGAAACATATTGAAAATGCAGTAATGGATACACAAAGCAGACGTAATATCAAGAGTTGGAAATACTAATCCATTTTAAGCTGTATTTTGAGAGTTCCTTTCTTCCCAGCATGTTCTATGGCATTTATTGCCTCCTTAAATGGATAAACTTTTGTTATAAGCTTGTCAACATTTATCTTCTCATCCTTTAAAAATTTAATGGCTTTGGCAAATGGTCCACATCTGGACCCAATCAGTTTAATTTCTTTAACAACAAACGGCGATGTATTAAATTCAGTCCCTCCAGAGGCACATGTGGTTTTCAAAACAACTGTTCCAAGCGGGCGAGTTATTTCAGCAGTTAACATAAGACCTCCCATGTTTCCTGTCACCTCAACAACCACATCAAAGCAATCTCGATATTTGTTGATTAATTCTTCTGAACCATCACTTAAAACTTTAGTAATCTTTTCTGGACAAAGATTCATTTTCTCCCAGTGTCGACCGAATATAGTGACATGACAATCTTCTTGTGCCATAACTTCAGCAATTAACAGACCTAGTTTTCCGTCTCCTACAATTGCTACTTTTTCTCCAGTGGACACCAATCCCTGTTCAACAATTCGACATGCTGCAGCAAGTGGTTCGACAAAGCAAGCCTGTAGGTCAGTGACATTTTCTGGTATTTGAAAAAGATTTTGTAGTGGCAATGTTAGATACTCGGCATACGTACCATTCTTGTTGACAATGCCCATGACTGTTCTATCAGGACAGTGATTTCGTTTCCTAACATAATCATCACCTTTACAAATGTCACAGACGTTACAAAAGACATTTATTTCACCCGCAACTCTTCTGCCAATCCAAGCACCTGCTTCAGGTTCTGGATTTACTTTTTCGACTTTTCCTATAAATTCATGCCCAACAATTCCTTGGAAGCCTGCATAGCCTTTAATTATTTCAAGGTCTGTGTTACATATCCCTGCCCGTATAACTTTAACAAGTGCCTCTCCGGGACCAGGTACTGGTATAGGGATATCAGACTTCAATTCAGGACTTCCCGAAGCTTTTGTGACTATTACAGCTTGCATTACGTGTTAAACGCAAAACCAGTCCTAAAATTAAACATAAATGTACCGGTATATAATTACTAGTAATTGAAACATAAATATACGGAGAAAAGGAGTATGGAATCAAAGATATTCGCCAAATAACCCTATATTAAGGAAAATTATACTTTATTGCTGAACTTAACTCGAGTTTAAATGCAGAAAATGTCATATCTTAGTGTAAAAAGAACATAAGGCATATCATCATGCTAGAATCATAAAAAATGTTTCGAGTAAAGCATACTAGTACTCAGTATGTATGATTTTAATTTAAGTAATCATAAACTCCATAGTACCAAAAATATTAAGTTACCAAACGGGTGCCACATGTGAAGTAGGATCTGCTTACCCTTCCGGAGCACCTAAGATCACCCCCGTTTTTTTGTGGGTTTCGTATAGCTCAGTCTTTAGTTTTCTATGTTGTATTTTGCATACTGTTGTTTTTCTTTTTCTTTTTTTTTGCCATGGCGTTGTTACCGGGCAAGATATGTAGTCAATGTGACAAGAAATTAACATCAAAATGGTCTATTTATGCTTTCTCGAGTCTATTGAAAAAAGTAGGAAGATACCACGGGGTCAATCAAAAACATAAATCGAAGAAAGACAGAAATCACCATGACCAAAAGAAAAAAAGACGAAAATAGTCACCAACACACACAGAACAATAAAGATTGAGTAATGCGAACTCTATAGAAAACCGGGGTGAACTCGGATGATCCGGAAGGGCAAAGTTTCTGTTCCACTTGTTAAAATCCGTTAAAGAGTCAATATCGATGTCACGCAGTGGCGGATCCAGGGGGGGGGGGGGGGGGTTTGACGATCAATGCATTTGAATGGGGACATATAGTTGGAACCCCCCTTTATCCTGGGTTAGGAACCCCCCCCCCCCCCCCCCCCTTTTATAAATGGCTGGATCCGTCCCTGTCACGGCATCATACATATACTATCTAATAAACATAGGTTTCTAACTCTTAAGACAATACCATGTACTTGTGACTTTCCTAATCCTCAGTCACACAACGGCCGTAGCGCACTCTAAAGGAATTGAGACAAATGGTGGACGAAGTATTTTCGTTATATGATACATGACCGAATATGCAACTTGATGATTTTGAAATAAAAACTCAGTTTTGGGGACTATGGATAGACAGACAGGAATAAAGATGTTTTCATCAGTTGAACTATTGATGTATAGTTGTCTTGTTAAATGGTCATGCCCTTAGTTATCCACGGTTGGAAATAAGAAAATCTTGTCATAGAAAATGATAAAATCACAAAATACAACGGAGAAAACTGCAGCAAGTGCATCATGAATCCCTTTAATAAAAATATGGTGACCAGTTCCACTAACGACACCCGTCGTGTTGCTCATATCATGTAAAAATACGATAGTGAGTTGAATTCGATGATAGCCATTAACGAGGAATCGAGGACAGAAAAGGCGCTACGATGAACGGAACATAGACCCGCGTGGTCATCCGTGACACAAATATTCCACAACAGTCAAACTGTTTAAAAAACAACGCCAAGGACCACAAAAAGAAATGATGTATCACTGCAAAAAAGGAGTATAGTTATTGCACAACAGCATGCATTCATAAATATAGAAATGTGTATGTCCTGTAACTGTATGTAAAGTAACAAGATAAGACTATATTCTATATATATTTACACAGAATGAAATGTTTGATTCAGAAGTTTGATTACTTGAACTCAATTAAAGGTTATAACATCTTTATCCTCGCAATTAAGCACACACAATATGTAATACTGCTAGCTTATTGGCAACAGGAGAGACAATACAAATTAAGAGCTGAACAGGCAACTCTTCAATTTTTGTTTATGGTGCCGACCCAATCATAGAGGTTCTGGATTCACCCGTCCTGTTACTAATGACATAACGAAAAAAGTAAAACAATATATAACTTGATGTAATGTTTACTAGAAATTTAGGGAAAACTTGAATAACTGAATATATTCAGGGGCGGGTCCAGGTGAGGGCGTAATGGGCGTACCCTTAAAAAAAAAAAAAACTATCGCAATTTGCTAATATTGTATTAAATAAGGCAATTTATCATATTTCACAATTATTTTATGTTTTGTAGCAAAAAAAAAAAAGGTTAAAAAGATTTGATGCTACGCCCCCTCTTTCAGATATCCTAAAAACGCCCCTGATATTAGATTCATTTTAAAAACCTTTGAAAACTATGTTTGAGAGGTGTATATTTTTCGATATAGCGATGATATAAAATTGACAATCTATCAATAGACAGAAAGAAAATAGGACAGACCAAATGTTGATGTTGCAGGTCACTGACCTATCAAAAAAGTGCTGTATGACATTTTGTTACAGGTTGTACAAGGACTAGTATTGTATGTTTAAGGATGTGCGATCGCTACTCTGTTTCAAAATAACAAACTTTTTAAAAGACTGTTATAAATTGATAGCATATATATAACGGAACTAAAAAAGCAGAAATTTAAACTTGTTTTTGAGATATAATCATATCAAATCAAATCAAATATTTTATTGTCGTATAAACTTTACAGTTTGTGACCAACATATATTCACACAATAAACATATATACATACATATCAAACAAACACAATAAAAACAGCATCAAAATTTATAAAAAAAAAAAAAAAAAAATTTTAAAAGCTGTTAAGAGTCCCCTGCCCTCAGTTCTAATGACTTTTTCAAGAAGGATCCTAACTTATTTGTTTGTAAAGGCGTTGATGGATTTAGTAAATAATGAATTTTTTCTTCTTCATTTAAATTATTAGATTATTATTTTTAGTACATATGTGTTCAAAAAAGGCATATAATTAATCCATTGGAAATTTGGCGGGAAATGATTCTCTCCGGATTCTTCATGCGCATCTCCCGCTTAATTGGTACCTTTTTTCTTTCAAAAACTATGAAAAAATAAAAAGGATTTCATAAGATTTTCAAAAATTCATTTTTAAAACTATATGTAATAAAATTGTGAAAAGAAAAGTAAGGGTCAGCGGGCAGAATTTGTTAATGGCAACACATGGATAAAACCAGAGGATTCCGAATACCTTATAAAAAGTCATAAACATCACACTCTACGTGAGCGCTGGAAACGGCTTAGAAGCGTCCTGACGCGTGTCATTTCGCGTTAGAAGATATTCTTAAAAACGCAGACACCCGAAAGAAAAATAAACATGGTTCAAAACCGATGATAACCTCTACGACTACGAACTTACAAAAATGTGTGATGCACTTCCAGTAGAGGAGTACACAAGAAAAGAACTATAACTCTGTATAAATATGTAAACACCGCCAAATTTGAAAAGTTGTTCTGAGATGTACTAAGGTCATAATAAAGTTATACTGAATTGCATGGTTAGGAGTTTGTTCTAAGATGTATTATCATGAGTTATTGTGAGATGAACTGATCATAAGTTATACTGTAATTTGAAAAAAAGGCAGGACAGGAGTTTTGAATAAAAAAAAGGCAGGGATGAGCAACTTGGCAAAAAAAAAAGGCAGGATGACAATTTATGTAAAAAAAAGTCAGGGTAAACTAATAAAACAAAGGCAGGACCGAATAGAGTGAAAAATAAAAAGGCAGGACAGAGATTACAACTAAAAAAAAATGCAGGACAAAATTTCTCATCCTCCGGTAAGCGGCCACCGTCAACTGGTGGACTATTCTGCCACATTTTTGGAGTGAGCGCATGAATTATTTTTGGAATTTAATAACAAAAAATGGGTGCAATTAATATATATACAGGTACAATTAAAACATGTCATTTAAATTTAATGACGGAGCTGAACCTTGAAAGAATCAGGACTCTAGACAGTTCGGGCATGGTGTTCCACTCTCTGACACACCTTATCGCTATTTGGAAATCTGTCCCGGTTGACCCGAGAATCTGCCCCTCCTGAACTATTAACGTCATACAACAATCACTTTTCCATTATGGCGTCAGATATTTTGTATTATGACGTCAAAATTTTACGGGAACCAGTGGCGGATCCAGAACTTTTCATAAGGGGGGGCCCGCTGACTGACCTAAGGGGGGCCCGCTCCAGTCATGCTTCAGTGATTCCCTATATAATCAACCAAATTTTTCCCACGAAAGGGGGGGCCGGGCCCCCCAGGCCCCCCCCCCCCTGGATCCGCCTATGGGAACCTTTGTGATGTCCAGTAATGGCGGAAAATAGCGATAAGGTGTATTGTTCTAGGATAGAACGACTCCTTCCGTACAGTTGTTTTGCATGATGGAATTCTGAATGCCTTTTCGTTTTTATTTCTGGAAGGGCGTTCATTTGGTATTAGCTGACTAGATGCATCAATTTTGACATAGTATACATCATTATTAAGCGACTGTGTTTCCTTCGCTCTTGTAGGGTAGTCCATTCAAGATGTTCAAGCATGTTACTAACAGATGAGGTGTTGTGATATTTGTTAGTAACATACCTTGCTGCCCTCCTTTGAACCATATCCAATCTGTGGATGTCATTTTGTTGGTATGGGTCCCGTACTGCGCTAGTATATTCTAATGTAGGTCTGACGAGGGACATGTATGCTTTTTCTTTAATTTACTTGTTGGAGATATTTACATTCCTTTTTAAGAAGATATAATGGTGTTATTAGCTTTGGAGCAGATGGTGCTTAAATGTGTTTCCCCCATTTAAGATCTGATGAAATAGTGCATCCTAGGTATTTATCTGATGTGACATGTTCAAGGTTATGGCCTTGTAATGTGTAATTGTACTTAGATGAAGTTCGCTTCTTGGAGATGGGGAGTACATTACATTTGTCAGGATGGAACTTAATAAGCTATGTTGTTTTCCATACAGCCAGTTTGTCATAGTCCTTTTGTAGGTTTGTGGCATCTGCATTGGATGAGATTGTGACATAAGCAATATTTAGTGTCATCAGCAAACAGTTGTACGGTTGATTGTATCCCCTGGGGCATGTCGTTTATATATAAAACAAAAATAGGCTAAGTCCCAGGACGGATCCTTGTGGTACGCCGGACTCTACAGATATGGAAGTTCAATTTCAGTTGATGTTTCACCCTTCACCACTACTGACTGTGTTCTATTACTGAGGAAGTTGTTTATCCACTCATTTTTTTACCTGTCATCCCATAATGCTTCAGTTTATAGATGAGAAGGCTAAGGCTAACCTTATCAAATGCCTTGGAGAAGTCCATTAATGAGACAATATGTTTGTTTTCCTTGATTTAAGTTGGTAGTTACATCATCGATAAATTCAATTAGTTGAGATTCACATGATAATCCTTTTTGAAACCCATGTTGAAGTAGATACATAATGTTGTGTGTATCAGCATAAGACATAATATGTCCATTAGTTTACATGATATGCAGGTGAGAGCAGTGGCGGATCCAGAGGGGGGCGTAGAGGGCGTACGCCCCCCCCCCCCCCCTTTGCTTGCACTTTTTTTTTTTTTTTTTTGTAAAATGATTAATCAGACTTCGTGAACTTTGCCATTTTCCGCGTATTTAATTTTTATGCGGCAATTCTTTACTTATAAAGATAAGTTTCGCTCGTATTTACTGTAATGATGATATTATTGATTATGTCAAAATCATGTGATTCGCTACGGTGGAGTTGACCAGTGCGTCGATAAAACGTCACTCAGTCATTTTGAAATTCAAATTACAGTAACGCATTGCTTAGGCTGAGGATGACCAGAATGCTCCGTGTTGAAGGCCGTACCTTGACCTATAATGGTTTACTTTTATAAATTGTTACTTGGATGGAGAGTTGTCTCATTTGCACTCATACCACATCTTCCTATATATATGACACCTTCACAATTCCATCGAACAGAAAGTAATACTCTATTACACTTTCATGAAAAAAAAGTTCCACAGCAATATTATTTACCTACGAAAGCATGTTTAACCCAACACGCCCCAGCCTATTAATAACATAGCTGAATAATGATCCCCAGTCAATAAGCTCTAGATAGATTTAAAGTCTAAGGTACGGACCATTTGATTTGAGGGGGCAGTCTGAGATGTTTGAGAGAAAAAATTCTGACCCTGATTTTTGCCTTAAACAAAAATTCTGGCCGTATCTGGATTGAAAACAATAATCTTGTCCACTTTTTTTGCTATTAGAAACAAAAATTTCCAACAGAATTATTTAGCATTAAATGAACATGATGAATAAAAAAAACGGGCGTAATTTTTTTGGGGCCAGAGTTTGCATGTAAATCCCTGCATATCTGACCGGAATGTCTGTTTCGTCGAACTGATAAAATGAATACTTTTTCAAGGCCCGACTGCAACCTGCCTGCAGGGTGTGGCCTTTATGTCTCCATTTGTCGACCGTCATTCATATATTCGTTGTCATTTCAGACTCATTCGTAGCCTTTGGTTGATTTGAAATCCCTCACTTCCCTTGTTGGGTGAAACATTTCAACCTAACATTTGGATAAAAATTGCTTGTTTGTCTTTCTTAACTCGTGTCGGTCGTATTGTAAATTTCATTGAATAGCCCGGCGTATATCTTGTTTACAACAAGAAATCCGTGACGTTATGCTAACTAAACATACAACAAACGAGAATTTTCCATGTCAATTTTTTACTGACAAGTCCCACATCAAATATATTAGTACATAGCTTTGGATCCATCCAATCATTTTATAATAGACAATTAATGGGGAGAATACGGCATCAAAAATGTCCAACCCTTACACTTTAACTATAAAATATACATGCCTTACGTCAGGAACCGTTAAAAAAGTGCATTTAAACACTTATTTTATGTTTTTTAGCCAAAAAAAATTCCTTTACATACTTCGCCCCCCCCCCCCCCCTTTCCAAAATCCTGGATCCGCCCCTGTCTCTCAGACTGGTCTATAATTTATTGGATCGTATTTCTTCCTTTTCTTGTACACTGGACAGATGTTTGCTGATTTCCAAATACTTGGCACTACGCTTGTATAATATGAGCAGCGGAATATTGTTGTAGGGATTGGTGCTATTTGTAATGCAAGTTCCTTTAAGACTCGTGGTGTTATATTATCTGGCCCAGCTTCCTTGTTTGGATTTAGGGGTTTTAGCAGTTTGTACACACCATTTTTGTTATATTGATGTCCAAGATTTTTTCGAAGTTTCCGGACATGTTACACTGTTCTTGAAATTCTTTCTCTGTTATGGTGGTTTTGTCTGAAAAGGCTTTCTGAAATTGGCCATTGAGTATGTCTGCTTTATCTGTTGGTTCTGAATGTAAAGTTCCATTTGATTTTAAAGACATTAATTGTCGAAATCCGGATATGGTGTATTAATTTTCGCTTGGGCTTGTATTATATTTGCCTTCGGGTTTATATGATCCGTTCATCCTATTCGACTCTTCAAAGTTCAAGTCTATCCTAAATTGAGGTAAATTATATGGCCTTCCAAATACCGTTTCGATTCCTAACATCACTGAAGAGACATGTATTTAATTGTCGAAATCCGGATATGGTGTACTAATTGTTGCACCTTTTGTTTGCGGTATACCATCTTTTCCGCAAGTTTATTATTTTCTGTTTGGTATCAAATTAATAGTTCAGATCTATTTTGTTACATCTGGTGATCCGTTTGTTTGGCGATCGCCAATGGCAGTCAGCAGGGTTTAAGAACATCCGTTGTTCGACCTGCTAGTCAAATGCGTTTTGTTAAAATATACTTTTTCACTTTTTAGGTCTTTTGGAAAATGTTGTTTGTGCTGTATGTAGACCCCTCTACCAAGAAATTTGTTTTGCACGCACACGTATAAAAATTGCGGTTTTTATCCAACGCAATCAGAGGTTTGAACGTTGTTTTCAATTTAGACTTGTTTATACTGCAATCAGCTATTTTACTATACAGATAAAGCTATACGTATAAACGTTAGCTTTATACGTCAATGACCTCAACTAACCTATTAGCCACGCCTACTTACCGGAACTACTGTATTTCATCAACAACGTCACGTCACAACCATGACAACGAGTAGTAACAATTGTCAAACTTTGTAAATTTAAACTTGTAATGTCTTAAAATTCGTAATTTACATACCATATTTATTAAATATTATTAAATTAGTTTATTTTCTCTTTCTAATTCCTAAAAATGGTAATGTCTTATCGCCTGGACTTTATGAGTTACTACGCTTATAGGGAAATAAATAAATTTGGTGTATTTACTGTCTTCTGATTGGTTAAAAGTATTACCTTTATTTTCAATGTTGTCAATTTTTATGGCGACACGCCCACTCTGACGTTGTGTATTCATACGCCAACA